TGCAGTCAGCCTGATGGGTATCAATAACCCCTCGTCCGAGCACCAAATCCTGCTCGGTCATCGTGAAAGAAGCGGGAGGAACTGCTGATCAGTACGCTCAGGCGGCTGATCTGCCTCGCCCTGCTCATCAGATCCACCCATGGCTGTAGTCTGGAGAGGGAGGGTAAGAGCGAAAGGCCACCGGTGCCCAATTCCATCTGTCGAAGCGATAGGGGGGATGTGCAGAGGTCCCTGGAACAGCGTTTGCACATAGTCTTTTTCGTCAACGAGTATGGATCTTCCACGATACACGGTGGCCACCCCACGGATACTCGGTGCGGCGACAACCTTTGTCTTTGCCCGTCCGAGTATTGTAACTTTGACTATTGCTTCAGCGGAGACGATGTGAGCCTGCCGATAGACGCACCCTGCTACAGTGCTGCCAGGCGAAAAGGTGGTGCCGTTACTGTCGAGACGGATTCCCAGCATGGAGCTAGCCTTTTCAAGTGTTGGAGGCATATCAGATTTCCCTTACAAGTACCAACCAGGTAACTGGCTCGAAATCGATTGTATAGGGAAAGTATCGGTGAATGACTCGCTTGAGAAGCATATATCTTCATGTACCTAAGTCTGTTTGGATTTACTTTTCTTGCCACCTGATGCTGGATGGAATTTTGTGCGATGTATCGAGCCGCGCCGGGCTAAGAGCATGCTTCCTCGCCAAAGGGAGGTAGGTAGCGAAACCGTGTTGGCGAAATATGAGAGCGGGAAGGATCGTAAAACTCTTCACTTTAACAAATTTGAATGATCGGACACGCAGTGATCATCATACGGCCGCCTTGGATTGAGAGACCAACATGGGCTTGTGGAGGAACATTCGTGTTCATGTTCATGGGCTGGGAGCTTCGCGAATGCGGGGTTCATCGTGGCTGATTGGCACTGCCACCCTCCCGCAGGTGTGTCTGCTGTGCCGCAAACCCACATGTCTTCACGTGGCCATAATTGTGTCTTGTCGTCTGGAAGACTAACAGCGCCTTATGAGATCGAAATACATTTTCTGGTCGTATGGTCGTAGAATCGGCGGGAGTTCTGGTATTTAGACGGTCCCAGGCACATCATTGCGCCCTATCTCAATGCCTTGGGTTAAGATACGGCCCGTCAGGTTATCAAGGCGATCTGACGAAGGGCCGGGCCTGTGAACCTACCTACACAGGTATCCTGCGGTCGGACTTGCAGTGCAGGATCTATCTTTTGAACTCGATACCCTGAACACCAAAGCCTACTTCACACAACAGACTGCTACATCTTGCACTGCTCCTTTTGCAATTCTCTTTGGGCGCGCCCACCAGAGGCTCGTTATTCGCAGCATCTGTAGCCGCTAGTGAATGCACATTCTCGAGGGTGGGAGAGTGGTTGCAGAGTGGTTTCGCACCGAGACAGGATGGCTCCATTGATGGTATGGAGTGATCAGCATCCGTCGCCTGTTTTTCTCGGCATTGAGCAACTCGGCATGGCAGGAGCATCGACCGGCCCAGGCACCACAGTAGGACTTCACCTTGCTAAAGAGCGCCTCTGACATCGCATCGTGCCTATGTCTAACACCTCAGGTCTGGCACGCTCAACGGCCTTGAGTAAAGTTTACGAGCTTTAACCACCATAAGATCAGTTGAAGACATACCCATACCCGCACGTGGGCATCAGTGCATACTTGAGAAAGCTGTGTCTCGGAATTCCTCAACTTTCCAAATTTTCCATGCCTATCTGACGAGGAAGCCCTTCTTCTACACAGTTGCGCGGCGATATGGGCAATGGATCCTACGCAGAGCTACGCAGCTGACTAATTAATGGCTTCGCAAGAGACAATGCCGTTCTCCCGCACGGTTGGAGAATTCACAGGCACTCGGCATCTTATCAGGATTAACTTAAAGTTTCGACAATAAGGTACCAAAATGAGATAATGAGTTCCAGGCTGCATCTGTGTCCCTGAACCGTAATTGTACGTCCCACGACTTTGTGCATGAGCTTGAATGGAACATGGCGATACGTGCTCCTGGCACCAAAATATCCTATTTCTGGCTCAGTAACTTCATGCTCGACATTCATTTTTTTTTTCTCCCGACCTTAAGTCAGTGGCCTGAGCACTATGTGATGCGACAGCAAAGCACTTACAAACATTGTGACAGGAGACGACCGTCCAATAAGATAGGCTGTACACAATTTCCCGCAGACGAGCTCATTTCCCGTGGCCGCCGATACCACCTCTTCTAGGATCCGGGGGTTACGACTCTAATGGAATCAAGGGGCACCGGAGGCTTTGGAAACTTTCTGGATGACATTGTCTTCTCTTTTGGTTAATATGGGTGCCGACACGGACTGCGGATAAACTCCATTACTTTCACTCCTTAATCGACAACTGTACGCTAAGGTAAGGTAGCCATAATATTTTATTCCACACCATGCAAAGTGGGTCCGCTGTCGGCAGCCCCGGTAGTTGGCAAAAGGGGCTGCTTAAGTTTCCATCAGGAAGAGTTGTAGGAACACAGCTCTGCATGGTCCATCGAACTATGATCGTAACATCTAATTTCACTTTGAATCACTTTGAGTTCACCATTTGTTCTGCTCTAAGAGACAACGGTGTGTTCGGCATGTTCAGGGTGCATTTTTGGGTTCTCTCATCACAGCTAACAAACTTCCGCTGCGTTGGCACCCCTTTCAGTGACAAATCATGCCACGGTCGAAAGCAAACCTTCACGTGTCCGATGCCGGAAACACGAAGCGTTCTTTCTTCATAAGATGTCATTGTTCTCCTCTTGGCGTTGCTTTGAGATCATCACAGTGAACCACTCGCCATCCACTCTTTACTCTCTGTTGACTTGTTACAGTCAATCCGGCTTTCGTTCAATCGAATTGTCACTCGTTGTTCTCACTCCCTGAGCTACACCATCGCTCTCAGCACGTGTTTTGCTGTCTTTCACTGTGACTTAATGTAAGTCAATTCTCAAGAACTTAAAGATTGCTTCGCATCATGGTCTCTGACATGCCGGTGACCGCAGCAAGATGGTCGCTACTCAAGTCGTTGTTGGTGCCCTCTGCCTCTTGGCTGGGGTAGAGGCAGCTGTCCCCAAGATTCCGGGGTACTGGCTGACCTGGGCCGATGACTTCAACGGTCGACGTGGCAATCTTCCCAAAGAAAAGAACTGGATCTTTGACACCGGTTCCAGCTACCCAGGTGGTCCTCCCAACTGGGGTACGGGCGAGATTCAGACCTACACCAAGAATCCCGAGAACGTCCACCTCAACGGCAAGGGTAATCTCCAGATCACCGCCATCCGTCAAAACGATGGAACCTGGACCTCTTCTCGCATCGAAACTCAGCGAGCCGACTTCATGGCCAAGAAGGACAGGTCGATGATCATTCAAGCCAGCCTGAAGTTCCCAGCCCTCGGCGACAACGGTGTCGGCTACTGGCCTGCCTTCTGGACTCTGGGCGCCGAATATCGTGGCAACTACTGGTAGGTGGTCACCAGATTTTGTGTGGCTGACATTGGTTTCTGACGCATGAGCGTGTAGGAACTGGCCTGCTATCGGCGAGTTCGATATCATGGAGAACGTTAACAACCTCAACCGTGGCTGGGGCACGCTTCATTGCGGCACCAACCCTGGCGGCGTGTGTAACGAACCCAGCGGCCTGGGTAACAGTCTAGTCTGCCCCAACGCCCCCTGTGCTGGTAACTTCCACACGTACTCCATCGAGGTTGACAGGACGTCTTCTCCCGAGTTCCTGCGCTGGTACATCGATGGGCAGAAGTACCACGAAATCAACGAGACGGTGCTGCCGCCTGACGTTTGGGAGAAGACGGTCCACCGTCCTCACTTCATCCTTCTCAACATGGCGTTGGGAGGCGGTTTCCCAAATGCTCTGGCGGGTGGTGACACACCGTTCAACACCACCCAGTCGGGAGGGCAGCTCGAGGTCCGATACGTCGCTGTCTACAACTCGCGCGCTTCGCATGATAAGATCACCTTGAACCCTCAAACCGACCTTGACTCAGAGACCGCCGACCCCGCTACCAGTCTTGATGTCGACCCCAGTGCCAGTGGCTCTGCTGATCTCGATCTCTCCCTTTAAAGCCGAAGGACGGAGAGCAGCAGACTTGACAATTTACCGTTCTTGAGGGGCTGATTTTGTATGGATGGCTTGTATGTCTAGACATCGTATAGAAGCATGTTGATGGAACGTGTCGAATTCTAAATGCATCACACAGAGCATGCCTGGGGGCTGCCCTTGGTCATCTTACTAGTTCCTGTGTGCAGACATGGTGATCAGGTCAGATAAACAGCGCCATTAGAAGGCTTGCACGCCATGCGTATGAGCGAGCTGAGACGACATCGATCAACGTCGTGTATCACAGCAATGTGCCAGATTTTGCTTTTACTAGGTGCTTGAGCGATGTTCTCGGTAGCTAACTCCATGTGTGATCATAAAAGATTGAGACATCATTCGTAAGCGGCATAGTAGCGCTGCGTATTGCTAACCAACCAGCGGAGTAACCAGACAATGATTAATCCATCATACAGGTATGCTCTCAAACCAAGACGTCCGTCATCGGGGAGGCAGTAAGGACAGGTAGTGAAGACTCTTAGGTCGCAAGAATTCCAGTGGCTGCTGTTTCAACAACCTTGAATGATTCTGCGTTTCCATCGCCGATGGCAGCACGTTCATATGCCAAGTCGCTCCTGGAGAATTGTCAGCAAGTAAATAGCTGAAGTGTCACCTGGCAACATACCTATCACACAGAATCTCAACGTCTTTGTCGCTCAGAATCTCAGCACTGCCAGATTGTTCGTACACATGACCGTCCTTGAGCAAAAGCGCCTTGAGCTTCTCTTCGTCCAAGTCTTCATCCTTGTTGATTTTTTGACCCATCGTTCTGAACTGGCCACCTTTGATGACCAGCTTCTCGAGGCGACGCTTTGCCTCAACGCTGAGCAGGAGACTGTCTTCGACGGTGCCTTTAGTTGCCAACCGAAAGATCACTACCGGCTTCGTTTGCCCCAGCCTGTGGACTCTGTCTTGGGCTTGGAGATCTTGCTGAGGGTTCCAGTCGGAATCAAACAAGATGACGGTGTCGGCCGCAGTGAGATTGATTCCTTGGCCACCAGCTCGTGTTGAAAGCAGGAACACCTTGAAGTCTGGGTCGCTATTGAAGGCATCAATGTGTTCCTGACGTTCTGCTTGGGATACACTTCCATCGATGCGGCAGATCTTGAGCTTCCTGAATGTACAATAATCGTGAAGAATATCGAGCTGCGTTTTGAATTGAGAGAAGATGAGCACCTTGTGGCCACGTTTCAACAAAGCGGGCAGAAGGCGGTCGAGAAGCAGCATCTTTCCCGAGGCAGTGACGATTCTTTCATCGATTTCCGGCCCATTCTCGAGGCCCCAGGGGTTGAAGAAGTTATGCGGACTATTGGCAACAAGACGCAGTTGCATGAGCGGATTACCAAGCTTCTTCCTGGAAATTTCCAGCTTTGCGGCGTCAACTATTCTTTTGAAATCTGCCTCTTCGGGCGTCAACTCAGGTGAAGATTCCTTGACATGATCGTCGGCTATCTCGTCGGCTAGCTTAGCCTCAAACTCATCGTCCGAAAGTTTATCTTCATCGGAGTCAGCTTCAGTGTACCTGGTGCGTCGCAACGAGCGGCCCTGGCGGGTTAGACTCTTAGATGCGACTGCGGGGGTGGAAGCTCGACTTGATTTTGCACTCTTTGACACCGACACCTCAGCTGTGGGGGGCGTTTTCCTCTTCGACGATGCGGTTGAGCCGTCGCGAGTTAGTGGCTTTGTGGATGCCTTCGATTTGGTGGAGCGACCTCTAGTCTGCTTGGCAGGAACATCGGCAATCTTCTTACTCATGAGCATGGTAAACGCGTTCGGTGCCGGGCTTGCGTCCGAAGTTGTTGATTTGCCCTTGCGAGGGGTCGTTCTCAATGGCAGAGAGACCTTGAGGCTTTCGTCCTCCTTTTTTGGCACCACCTTTTTCGTTTTGCTTCCTGCTTTTGAGGTTCGATGGCTGCTTATAATGGCAGGAGCTGGACCGTATCTCGACGCTTCGAGCGTCTCGAGGACCTTGTTCTCGAGGAAAGTCCGCGAATCAATGTTCTTGTCGCTAATCGCATTGTACAGGTCGGTCTGCTCCTTGGTCATTGGGGCGTACAGAATGTACTCTCGCTTCTTCGGTAGGTGTTTAGCCACGTCGGCCTTGACGCGGCGCAAAAGCAATGGTTGTAATATCAAATGGATCTTCTTGATCAAATCTTGGTTCTCGCGATCAGCAATGAATTCGGATGTCCCTTTCACGTCCTGGAGGTCGCTAAAATCGAACCACGACTCAAAGGCGTCCCAGTTACTGAAAATGGTTGGCAACAGGAAATGAAGCAACGACCAAAGTTCTCGCAGGTTGTTCTGCAGGGGTGTGCCGGTAATGAGCAATCTCGTCGCTGAAGTGAAGGTACGAAGCTCCCGAGAAAGCATGGAATCGAAATTCTTCATGCGGTGACCCTCGTCAATGATGATGAAGCCCCAGTTGACTTTGGAAAGGGCAGCCTTGTCCGCCAAGACCATTTCATATGAGGTGCACACAACCGGGAATGATTCCGTTGGGCGTCCACCCTTGAGGTGCTTCTTCACGCTCTTGGCCCAGATGTCCTGTCTCGCCTTGGGAGTACCGTGATAGAGGACAACTGGGATTGAGGGGCACCATTTCTTAAACTCGTTGATCCAGTTGCTTAATGTGCTGAGTGGAGCAATCACCAGATGAGGGCCGAGGAATTCTTCTTCGCGAAGGAGGGCGATGAGTGAGATCACCTGCACCGTCTTGCCTGTCCTATGGTCAGTGCCAGAAATGCCATCGTGAGGCTTGAAGCTTACCTAGGCCCATCTCATCTGCTAGGATTCCCGACATGCCCTGCTGGCAAATCTCGTACATCCAGGTCAGACCTTCCAGTTGGTAGTCTCTCAACGTACCGTTGATGAGAGACTTGGGCTGTTTCGCCATGTGCAAATCGTGCTCTCCCAAAATTTTTCCATCGAGACCGCTTCCAACCTTACCCAAGACCTGCGTCTTCTTGGTCAGGATGTCACTGAAAGCAGCACTCTTCAGCAACAGGTCATCGAGCTGGCGCGCCTTCTGTTCGCGCTCGGCTTTTGTTTCAGGCTTCTTGTTATCCTTCCGCTTCTGAATAGCATCCCTTCTCTTCTTCTCCGCTTGCTCGTTCGCGGTGCGCGCCTTCTCCTCGTCTTGTTGCCATTTTTGGGCCTCTGGTGAGAGGTCCTCGAAAGAATCTTCGGGAGGTGGTGAGGATTCGGCTGTTGGGGGCTCTTGCCCCCGAGAGAGGACCGAGTCCTCGTCGGAAGGAGAGGGTGAAGCCATCATGCGACGTCTCTCAGGGCGGTTGATTTTGAGAGCTGGTATTGAAGGTCAGCGTCGGGGCGAGTCGGGTGACAATCGGGATTGAGCGCGTGAGGGAAAGCGAGGACAGTGGTGACGGCACGAGATGGGAGGAGTGGTGGCGACCAAAAAGAGATCTAGAGGGAGCGATGCAGAGAGAAGATGAGGAGAAGAGGCAATACTGAGGAGTGACTGGGTGGTGGCAGATGCCTAGGTCCCTAAGGTACCTACCTACCTAGGGAATGGAAGGTGCGATTGCTCCCCCTCCAACGCGACTCAAAGATGAACAAGGGCCAATCCCGCGACTAATTGAGTCAATGACGTGCAAGAGCTGAAGGGCGACGCGCAAAGGGCGCGCGGTGTCACTGGACCAGCTGTGGGGGCGCGCGTCTTGCCCATTAAGTCCCCTGTAAGTCACTTGTAGATAAAAGTAACCATGCCCAGGTGACCATCAAGCAAGGTGCCAGTCTATGCCAGCTGGCACCATCAGTTCATGCTGGTCTCGGTCCCACCCACAAGTTTGGCGGGGTATTGCCTCTGCTGTGAAGCTCAACCCATGGCAGTGACTACCTACATGTACCCCGCCGCAGACTGAATTTTTGACCTGCCAACCGCCATCTCAACACCATCCTCACTCCCACATCTTCATCCTGTCCACCGCCACGCTGTTGCCCCTACGAGCCCTCCGCCCAAGCCTCCTTCGGAGCATCACTACCAAAATGAACCCCATCTCCGCCAACACCTACACTCCCACCGAGGAGGCCGAGATCCAGCAATGGCTCACCACCGCCACTCGCGTCGAGGAGCAGTCCAAGACGCCCGCTCCTGATTCCGCTCAGCTGAGCCCCATCCTCGAGACCCTCAACACGCACCTCAGCACTCGCACCACCCTCCTTGGCAGCAAGCCCAGCCGCGCCGACACGGCCCTCTACACCGCCGTGCGGCCTCTCGTCGCCGCCTGGTCCGCCGACGAGCGCACCGGCGAGAAGGGCTACCCCCACATCGTCCGCCACCTCGACTTTGTGCAGAACTCGGGCGCCTTTGAGCTCTCTGTCACCGACACCGACAAGGTCGCCGTCGACCTCGACGACGTCCGCTACGTCAAGCCCCCCGTCGACGCCAAGGCCGAGAAGGAGCGCATCAAGAAGGAGAAGGCTGCCGCCGCCGCCGCTGCTGCCGCTGGTGGTGCCGGTGCCGGTGCCGCCGCCGGGACCGCTCCTGCTGCTGCGCCCGCCGGCGACGCCAAGAAGGACGCCACTCTCGTCGACCGCACCAAGGAGAAGGCCGCCGAGGTCAAGGACAAGGTCAAGGCGGCCGTCGGCGCCGGTGACGCCAAGCCCAAGAAGGAGAAGAAGGAAAAGGCCCCCAAGGCGCCCAAGGCGCCCGCCGCCGCGGCGCCCCTGTCGCCCTCGCTCATCGACCTTCGCGTCGGCCACATTCTCAAGGCCATCAAGCACCCCGAGGCCGACTCGCTCTTCGTCTCGACCATTGCCATGGGCGACCCTGCCGGCGAGGACACGACCGAATTCGAGGGCCAGATCTGCCGCACCGTCTGCTCGGGCCTCAACGGCCTCATCCCCCTCGAGGAGATGCAGGGCCGCAAGGTCGTCGTCGTCTGCAACCTCAAGCCCGTCAAGATGCGCGGCATCAAGTCCTCGGCCATGGTCCTCGCCGCCTCGCCCCGCCTCAAGGAGGGCGAGGTTGACGATCACAAGGGCCCGGTCGAGCTCGTCGCCCCGCCCGCCGACGCCAAGGCCGGCGACCGCGTCTTCTTCGAGGGCTGGAAGGGCGAGCCCGAGGGCGTGCTGAACCCCAAGAAGAAGGTCTGGGAGACCATCCAGCCCGGCTTCACGACAACGGCCGGCCTCGAGGTCGCCTTTGACGCCGCCGCCGTCAAGGAGCTCGGCAAAGAGGGAACCGGCAAGCTCGTCACCGAGGCCGGCGGTGTCTGCACGGTCCAGACCCTGACTGGAGCCACTGTGCGGTAAATAGGCTAGAATGTCAGGATGCTGTCCAAAGAAGACAAGCATGTCTGATAAGAATAGATCCAGATGCCAAACTTCTGAAATTTGTGAAGGATTCAAGTGAAAAGCCCGACAGAGTCTTTGGTTATTTTGGGCCTCCCTTGTCGAAATATCATTTACATACGAAAACAACTGATGTGCAGCACCTCATCGGCCGGAATCCGTCGAATCGTTGTTGAAGTACACACGCGAATTTACCCAAACCATCTTGTACATGCCGCCCGAACGCCCGGATCGCAAACCACAAATCCGCCCGCTCTCACATGGGGGAGCCCCAGATCTATCCCCACGAACCAACGCTATGCCGTCGGACTATGCACAGCCAACGCCCTGACCAAGATAGATATGATACACACTCAAATGCCAGGCGTCTTTTTCACTCTTGTTTTGTCTTCTCCTTCGCTTCCACCTTGATTTCCTGCTTTGCGGTCTCCTGCTTCGAAGCTTCCTGCTTCAGCGCCGCTTCTTCTTGCTTCTTTGCTGCCATTTTCGCCTTGCCCGCGCGGAACTTGATCCACTTCTCGTACACGTACCGCAAGGATCGCCGGATGCCCGCTGTGAAGAAGCCCTTGATGGTCTGCGCCGTGGCGGGCCAGTTGACCGTCTGGCGGATGACCTTGCGGATGATCTCTTGCAGCTCTGCCGGGTCGTCCTGGACGATACGGCGCTCAAAGCCGCCGCCCGTGCGGCGCTTGAACGACTCCTCGCCGTCGTCCTTGGAAGCCTCCATCAGGGCACGGAACTCCCCGCGAGGCATCATGAACTTCTTCTGGTACTGGAAGTAAAGGCGGGAGCGGAAGGTGGAAGGCAGGCGCCGGACCATGTTGGCACGCTTCGTCGGGTCCATGTCCTGGGACAACTTTGCGTTGGCGTCGGGATCGGCATTGTCGGGTGTTGTCGCAGTAAAGTCGACGTTGGGCAGAGTGGCCAATAGCGGACCATAGAGTTTCCGGAACGAGGTCATGTTGTGCGTGACAATGTCGGTGACCTTGCTCGGAGATTCTGTCGGGAGAGCCATACGCGGGTCGCCAAGGTAAGAAAGGCCAGCGATGGTGGAGTAGAGCTCATTCTCGGTAAACTGCGGTGGAAGAAGCAGTAGTGCGGTCCGGACAGCCGAGATCAAGTTCGCCTGGTTAGCAAGGCGGACTCGAGGGTGGTCACGCAGGATCTTAACCGGCTTCTGGAGACGGCCTGCTAGGTAGAGATTATTCCACGAAGAAAGATCAGTGCAAAGATTGTCAATCGACGTGACGCCGTATTTGATCTGCACACCGTTCTGGATGACGTACGGGTTAAAGTAGACGCCAGCGCCCCAACGCTCCTGTGTCGTGGACACGAGACCAGATCCAAACTTGGCGAGCGAAGAATAGTGCTCGGGATGCTGTCGCATGTTGAGACTGTGCCAGTGCTGCGTGTGGGTCACACCAAAGATGAGATCAATGGACTTGGGCCCAGAGGCTTGCACCTCCTTCAATGCCTGTGACGGCTTGGGATGAACGCTGCGATATTCCTCATCGCTAACGTGGCGGTTCGGTTTGGCTTGCGGGAAGATTCCGGACCCGTAGGCGAAGGCATACATGATGGGAGCACGGTAAGATCGGAGCAGTCGAGTGAGCTCCTTTTTGAATTCGGCGTGGAACTCAATGTGTTGATTGGTGCCGAAGAGCTCGTAAGGAAGCTCGTCAAACTCTTCGAGCCTGGCGTTCGGGTGGTCCTCCCAGTTCTCCGCTGACAAGGGAGGTCCTTCGCGGGGCTCCCTGATGCGATATTTATCGCCGATCGCAAAGTTGATGGCTGAACCTCTGTGAACATATGTAGGTGCTTTCGATCCAGCCTGCTGCTTCTCCCCAATGTGCGAACCATCCTTAGGTTTTGTCTGGCCAGCCTTGGTATCCGGTGAAGTCTGTTCCGAGTACAGTCTGGTGTAGGAGAAAGCAGAGACGCATTGGCGGCGCAAAGGTCGCATCGAAGTCAGAGGCTGCGAAGTCGACGGCCAGGCCATCCGAGCCAGCCGGTTTTGAGTCAGTGCTGTTGCCATGGCGCTGGTTTCCCGTCGATACGGTGAGCTGGAGGGTTGGGTGGGATCGAGATTCGTCGCGATTACGAGACGCGGCGTATGTAGGCTCTTGATGTAGTCTGGCGTCTGTCGAATCGTGGAAATGGGAAATTTGTACACTCGGAGGTTGTATGTCGGCTGGAGATGCGGTCGCCAGCTCTAGCAGCTGCGAGAGATCATTCGCTGAAGGAATCCATATGCAGGTTGTACAGGACGGCCAAATTGGTAGCGGGGGACTGGATCGTCGGTTGGCGTCAATGAGCGGAATGGTCGGATTGAGTAGTCGAGACACGGCCTGAAGCTGCAGATTTCGTGGTTGATCCGCAGCCAGCTCCTTCGGCAACGTGATGACGGCTGTATAGAGGGCGCCGGGTTGAAATTCAAGGGGTGTTGTAGGATCTTGGCTTGAAGGAAAATCTGTGATTGCTGCGAGCTCACCTGTTTGGGGAAGCAGCAAATGGCCAGTGCACGGAGCATATTCTGTGCTGTGCTTCGCCAAGACAGGAACAAGCTCAAACCATACGCGGGGATCTGCTGGCACGTCATTGTGCAGGGTCCACCTGACGGCCGCTTCCGTGGTCAGGCACCACATCGTCCATCTCCAGCGAGCTGTGATCTTGGCGATGCACCTCCCTCGTTGAGCCTTTGGTGCTGTTGACAGTGGCGACGAATGAGGTTGAGGGGCTTCTCGGCTGCTTGAGAAGGAGGACCATGAGCAGAGGGCGTGCCAGCGTGGCAAAGCAGGTAACTCGTTGGTCATCTGGGGTAATCGGCTTGCCTAGGTACCTAGGTACCTAGCTCGGACAGGGAAGCAGAAGACCATTTTCAAGCCTTGTATTGGCTTTCAGTGAGTCAAGTCGATCTTCCTGCTGGAAGCGAAAAAGCAATCGGCTTAGTGAATAGCATCATTCCAATTTTAAAATACTTCAGGATATGTGTTCATCTAGCTCGTTCAAGCTGATAGGTAAGGTACCCTGGGCGACCATGTGTATTTGGATTTATCACTGAATTAAGGACTATTTCTTCGACCATCAACTCGGTACAGGCAGGCTTCAAGACTCTGAGAATTTCTCCGTCTTGGTAATTGGTGCCGGGCCATTGATTTTATCGAGGCAGCTAAGCCCAGACGGCAGGCATATGGTGACTGCCTAGATCAATCGTCGTACATAATACCTTCCAGAAGAACGGCGAACAAAGACACCTTCATACATCTTAACAGTCAATAGACTGCCAGACGTGTACTCTTTGAGTCCTTGCGATCAATTCATAAGCAGCGACTTGACAGTCCCAGAATATCAATTCAGTTCATCATTTTCAAAAGGCTCCCAGCTGAAATGGACGAGGATACAAGCAATATCCCTGTCACAGCAGGCAAGCTGCCAAGCAGCCCATGCACCCCACCGACGCACGTGACCTTATCACCACCGGCGGCGCAGATCTGGTCAATCAACAAACGAAACAAACAACATCGCCGGTCGCTGAATCGCCCCGTCGAGCTTCGCAGCGCCGAGATGAGGTCGCATACTCCATCCGGCGAGCCGCCCAGGCGCACATCTCTCTCCGGACGATTGAACCGCAGCGCTGGTCCTGCCAGCATCCCCCGACCACACACGTCCTTGCGAGGATCGCGCGTAAGTAGCTGCATCAAAACAAATCCCCCCCCCCTGGCCGCCCGGGGCAACTGAGTTGACGCTTCGCCGCAGACTTTCCGCGCAACCCAGACACAGCCGACATACAACCTCTTGACAGGTGCCGACAATGCTGCCAGCAGACCATCTTCTCGTCAAAGCGCCGCTGGCGAGTCGCTGCGCGCCGTTTCGCGGGAGAGCTCGAAGGAAAATCTTGCCCCACCCGACGCGGAGGAATACGAGTCTCAACGCCATGTCATCGAGGAGCTCAAGGCGGAGCTCAGCGGCCTCCGTTACACGATAGAGACTTTCGAGCAAGAGAAGCAGATGGCCGAAGCTCGACACAATGCCGATATCGAAGACCAGCGCCGACGCGCCCAAGCTGATTTCACCGCGAAACAGACGGCCGAGACGGAGAAGTCGCAGGCGCTCCGCCAACTGGAGTCGGCGCAGAAAGAGCTTGCTGATATTCGAGAGTCCTCCAACCAAGAAAAGTCGACCTGGGAGAAAAGGGCGCGTGATGCTGAAGAGGAGGCTCGTCTGGTACAGGAGCAGCTCGAGGACCTTTCCAACGCCAAGGACGAAGCCGCTCGGATCAACGAGAAAAAGACGATCGATCTCGAAATGCAGCTCCAAGCCGCTCAAAAGTCTGTGCAGGAGCTGGAGCAGGAGAGCCAGGCTCGCGAAACGGTATTGCAGCAGGTGCAGGTGCAGCTGGCCGAGAAGGACACCCACATTGGCGAGTTGGAGTCCGAGGTGCTGCGCCTAAAGGCACAGACCGGAGATGCCGACACAATGGCCATCATCAAACAAGAGCTGTCTGAGCAAGTTGCGCATATTCGGAACCTCGAGTCGACGAATCGGGAAAACTTGAGTGAACTAAAGCATTTGCGACAAGTCCATCGGGCTACAGAGGTTGTGGAGGAAGAGAAGCGTTCTCTGCTCCGCAAGCTTGAGGCTGCTCAGGCTCTCGAGGTTGAGCTCTCGGAAGCTCAGATTCAGCGTCAACGTCTCGAAGACGAAAGGCTGGCCTGGACCGCGTACCTCAAGAGCACGACCGCATCGGGTGAGGATCTCGAATTCGACTCCCCTGAAGCCCTGGCCCGGGCTCTCATTGCTGAGCGGTACACGATCGCGTCTCACTTGGACAAGATTGGCGGCCTGCAAGCCGAATTGGCTGCGCAGGACAGCAGTATCAAGTCTCTGGAAACCGAGGTGACGCGCCTCAAGGGCGAGGTGCAGAACGCCAAGGCCAACGCCAGTGCTTCCAATACCGACAAAGCGCGCATGAGGGCAGAGCGTCAACGAGCGCTAGCTGTCAAGGAAGTCGAGAATTTGCGTGCACAGTTGGCGCTGTTTGACACAGAAGACCTTCAGCCGGAGAACTACGATGAGGGCAAAGCCAGGCGCATCAAGGAGCTCGAGGAGTTGATTGATCAGTACAAGTCGGAGACGCAAGCTCTGGCGGCTGAGATGGCGTCCCTTCAAACCACGCAGCCTACGACTGGGAATAAGCGACCCAGAATCGACGACGGGACGGACGAGAACGACGCCGGGCTTTCGGCGCAGCTGGCAGAACTCACACGCAAGAAGCGCAAACTGCAAGACGAGTTCTCGGCCCTGCAGTCACAACATGCGCTCACGGTGAAGGAGCTGTCGGTAGCACAAGAGCAGCTGAAGGCGGCTAAAAAGTCGTCGAAAACGCGCGTACTTTCGCTGCGATCCAACCCAACATCCGACTACGAAGCCATCAAGCTCTCGACGCTTAAGGCCCTGCAGACGGAAAACGCCGAGCTGCTGGCTCACATGCAGTCGCGAGCTAAATCAGGGTCTTTCCCGACAGTCCCTGCGTCGCAGCTAGCGGCAGCACAACGTCTCATCGACGAAGCCAAGGCCGAGACGGCGAGCGCACAGAAGCTCAGCAGGCGACTGAAGGAAGTTTGGGGCAACAAGTCTCAAGAGTTCAAGGAGGCCGTCTTCTCCACCATGGGCTGGACAGTTACGTTTATGCCGAACGGCAAGATGCGTGTCGAATCTCAGTACTACCCTTCAAAGACGGACGAGCACGAGAACTCGATTGTCTTTGACGGAGAAAAGGGCACAATGAAGGTCAGCGGCGGGCCCAGAAGCGCGTTCGCAGCGAAGATCAGCAACCACATCAAATACTGGGTGCACACCAAAGGCTGCATTCCGGGATTTCTTGCGGCCATGACCATTGAGTTTTTTGAAGAGCAAGAAACTTAGTGGCGATGCTGTCATGCTGTTCTGGGTACGTGTGTTTGTGTGTGGACTGTCTGCGAGTGTCTCTTTTGAAGAACGCGAAGAAGCGCAGCGGCGTAGGGCGTTGGACTTGACCTTCCATGTACAATCTGTTGCCGTGTTTTGTTAGATACCAAAGGTAGCGGGCCCGGGGATACCGGCTCGTCGATGATACTGATGCTATGATGATGCAAGCCAGCGCCCTCGAATCCTCTGTGTGATGTGTGACCTGCTATGCGGCATCTGAGGCGACACTCTACGACAGCCGTGGATCTCGGCAGGGTAAGGCTAGTACTTGGGCCCCATGCTGAACCTTCAACGAAGCCGAGATCCAGGGGATGCACGGAGCCAGACTCGGGTCCGAAGATCGCAGGGCAGTGCCAAAGTTAATGTCATCAGATGCATCGCTCATCCTCGTCCACACGTACAAGCATGATTGGCCTCGCGTTTGTTCCGTTTCATTGGGGTCGAACCGCTGCTCTCTTGTTACGTTATCTTCATATTTGCGTCCCGGTAATCTCCTTATAGAGAGGGCCGAGAGCTCATCTCACATGTGTCATGACAATCCACTCCCAACCTGCCAAGAGACCAAGCAGCCAGGGGAGCGAGACTGGGAAGCGGGAGGTTGCTTTGACAACGTCGACTCCATACAAAGGTAGGTTACAATTCAATGGTCCCATACTGAGGAGCCTACATGTACGTGCCGCACAGTACTCGATGCGACGCCGATCGGACTCCTCCTCAGTGTCGCCAGTCAGTGAACCCCCATCCGGGGGCGTTTAGCTTTCTCCATACGGCATGCTCTCCATGCGGCATGCGACCGCTGAAGCCCATTAGCAGTTCAAGCTTACGGCCGCTAAAGGGGACACTTGGTTGAAAGCTGGGGATGGGCTAGCAACAGTAGGCGGTCGGTGCTCAGTCTCCCTTCTTGGTGTTTCCATGTACTGGCTGGCGCCAAACCTAAGGTACCACTTGAAGGAAGAGCGCTAATCAATCGGGATCGTTTGGATCGGTGCGCTTTTTTGCCGGTGGTGATCTGGCTTGGGCGGGCGTGCGCGCACGGCTATCCTGAAGAAATGCAGTGATGTTTGGCGCTCCCCCATTTTTTGTGCCTTCACCGCTACAGTGAGCTCAAGCGAAAGCAGGCCATGTGACGAGCCATTATTGAATCTTGAAGGCTTGAAGGTGCACAGCTCACTCGCTGTACGATGAGCTGGCTCCTCTCGTTCACTCGCGTGACGTCCTATAACAAAACCGACGCCGTTGACTGGCAGATTGATCTGCTGACGAAGGTTCATCTGCAGAAACAAGTACTGTACATTTAATGGCCAGACGTTCGCTCAGTGCTACCGCTATTCGAACAGTCCATATCGGGCTGGCGAGCAACGCAACACTGGAGCGATCACTTCCTTTTCGCTCTGGTCATCGTCCGAGTTGCCCAGGGCCCCAGGCAATACGCTGCTTGCCAGCAAGAGCGGCCGGGATCAACGGAACAGTGTGACCGGCCTAATTCCATCTTTAAGCCGCTTCAGCGGCACGATCAACGATAAACAGACTGGCTCTAACCCTCCTGGGCCTCCATAGACTACTTACCTATGGTGGACTTCATCACATCACACGCCGTCGTGCACTGCCTCTGTCGCTCTTCCGTTCTGCAGCACACGCGACAAGAAGAGCACGGCGGCAGACAAGATCGAGACAAATACAGCATGGGTCGGTGGGCAAAGCCTCTCTCTCACACTAGGACAGCCACCGTTCGTCATCCCGCACCCTGAGCCCCCATTTTCCCGGAGCCACGGTCAATACCAAGCTTTGCACCCCAGGCGCCTCCAACCTCTTCAGGATGGCCCTTTCTGGCACATCCCTGGCCTACGCCGTCGTGTTCCCCGAGACATCCCAGGCCCCGCATGGTACGGTACAGCCTGAGCCAATGTCTTTCCGTGTCCCACGGCCTCCCTTGCCGAGTCATCTTCCCAGCAAGTCCCAATGGTGGTCTGCCTCCACGACTCGGAGGCACGCGGACTCCATGCTTCCTGCGTCGAACCCGCCAGTCCGGCCAGCGGCCATTGGATACCCGTCTGCCGCTCGCGCGTCGTCCTCCTCGATCCGGCCCAAAGTCTCTCTGTGTGGTGGACCGCCTGCCCCCCCTGTTGTCTCTCCGCCATGCCTTGCTTCCCGACCCTGGTCCTGCCCTACACGTATGCAAGCTGTCGAATTTTTTCCCCCTCTGTTGTGTCTGCCGATGCCTGACGACGATGACGGCCGGTCCGTAAGGGGGTGGGCGCCCTGTGTGCGAGTCTTGTCTACCCAGCAGAGATCGGCCTTGCGTGTCTCTTCATAAGCTTTGGCTGTCCGACGGTAGACCGTTTGTTGGCGCCTGGCTGTAATGGGTGCTGTCATGTCTTCGTAAGGTTGGTCTCCAGAATACTCGCCCATCCGCCCATCCTGATATTACAGTTCCTCCCCCCTCCCTACAGGGCTGATTGGATGTGTCTTTTTTTGCATTTGCCTTTTTTCTCCAGGACCCCCCAGCTCGGAGCTTGATCCGGGCAGCTCACTGATAAGGCCCCTTGCCAAAGTCGGCTTCGAAGACAAGGTGGCGAGAGCAACCTCGACGATCTGTCAAGCAGGTGATTGACTTGAAGCTGCCTCCCACTTGCGCCCTCGCACTCTTCTCCTCCGGAACCTCGACCGGAGAACCGACTGGACCACACACACACACACTCTCGAGTCCACCTGCAGCTGTCCATCCTCGCCGTCAAGCACGGGAATAGGGCTCCACCGGAAAGGACCGTCACGAACGCAAAGCTCGGCGCGCAGGACTACCGCATGTACCTCCTTCAACTACCGGATACGACTTGACGAGTAGTGCAAGGGGCACCTGCTGCCCTCGATATCCAGTACCCATGACGCATTCTGCCTCTTGGACGTTGGAAAAGAGTATTGGACAAAGGACAACCGACACGCGGTTTATCAAACATCGAGGTTGTCATTGCGAGCCCAACTCCCTGGCCGGCGACGCAGGGACAAGGACGAGCTTCAGTACAACCAGCACAGTTCCAATCGGTATTTGCGCGCAGCTCATCGAAATACGCCTAACAACATCCTAACGAAAAGGTTTACCATGTCGGTCGATTTCTGAAAAACACCTTCCCCATCCCCACCTAAGTTCTACGTCTCGAGCTGCTTGTATGCTTCACCAACGGCATCAGCATCAAGGCCTGAGTATTGGTCTGCTGTCATGCCGCCCACATCTGGCGGTCTGGGTCCGGTTCTGGGCTCATCCTCGGACACGGAAAGCACTGGATACTTCATTTTGGACAACCGCGAGGTGTTGCAGTACAGCGAGATCCCCAGTGGGCTTTCTGACCAGCAGGTTTACATCTTGCGATGCGTTTCCCTGTCTCTCTCGCTTTTTACCCTGTCACTCATTGTGCTTGTTACGTATTGGTTCTTCCGCATGCGCAGAAGCTTCCGTCATGAGTATGTTCTTTCTGCCAGCCCTTTCTGGATTTAAAGGGCAGGAATCAACTAACGAACACGTGCAGCCTCATTATGCTCCTCATTGTCAGCGACGGCCTCGAGGCCCTCTTCTTCATGATTTTTCCCATCGTCGACTTTGCCATGGGGCCGATCCAGTCAGAGTCGGTCTTTTGCCAGATAAGCGGCTTCTTCCTCGCCGTCGGCATCGAGGCGTCAGACATAGCCGTGGCACTCATCGCCATCCACACAGCGCTCTACATCTTCAAGCCAAGGCAGCTCAACGGCCAGAGCGGGCTGTATCCGTACCGCCGCACGGCCTACGCCGTCTTGTTCATCCTGCCGGTCGTCCTGGCGTCCCTCGCCTTCATCAATACGCCGGCGTACGTCAACAACGGGCAGTACTGCTACCTGCCGATCCAGCCGCTCTGGGCGCGGCTCGCGCTGAGCTGGATTCCGCGGTACGTCATCCTGCTCATCATCATCGTGTCGTACTTTTGTACGTACGTTTACGTGTCGGTGCTCATGCACCGCTTCGGCAAGGAGAGCAAAATGCGGCGGCACAGCAACGCGCCGCCGCCGCCGCCCGTCAGCATCGACCAGACGACGAGCAGCCCGAGCAATGTGAGCAACAACCAGGCCGGCACACGCAACATGTCTGTCCCGCCGACGCCGCCGATCGCCTACCACGGGCTCATCCCGTCGACGTCCGACTCGCACCACTCGTGCTCTGAGGAGGAGCGGCAGCGCCACGGGTCCGTCTCGAGCGAGGGCTCCTGCGGCGAGCCGCTGCGGCGTCCGTTGGCCGGCCGGTTGCGTGTCGACTCGCACCACACGGCGCACGGTATTCGGTGGAAGTGGCCTCTGTTCGGGGGCGAGGCCGTCGCGTCGATGGACACGGAGCAGCAGCAGCAGCAGCAACAGCAACAACAACAGCTGCGGGAGGCAAATCAACACCAAGAACAATACACGACGCAACATGACGCCCACGTCGAAGCCGTCCACTTCCCACAACAAGGGGACAACCGGGTGTCCTACCAGGCCATCGCCTCCCCTCCACCAGCCCGCACCTCCGATCCGACAACGGCGCGACACTCGCTGCCGCCAAGCCTCGGCAAAACAAGTGACCAGTCGCCCTCATCGCTCTCCAGCCCCAACGGGCGGCCATATCGACACCCGCACACCGAGTCCTCCTCGACAGCCTTCTCATCAACGCCCTCGCCCTCGCCCTTTCTCTTCGCCATCGCCGCCTCGGCCGGCCCGCTCCGGCGCACCGGCGGAACCGGAACCGGGATCGGCGCCACGGCCACCGATCCGTCGGGCAGCATGGCGCGCGCGCGGCTCAAAATCCGGCGGCAGCTGCGCCTACTCTTCGTCTATCCGCTCGTTTATATACTCGTGTGGGCGGTGCCGTTCGCGCAGCACGTGCTGCGGTGGAACGAGCCGCTGCGCGCGGGGCCCTTTGGGCTCGTGCTCGCGAGCCTCGTGAGCCTGTGCATGCAGGGAGCCGCCGATGCCGTGCTGTTTGCGCTGCGGGAGAAGCCGTGGCGGCACGGGCACGGGAAGGCAAGGCAGGGGTTGGGAAGGGCGCCGGCTGTTGCTGTCGCGGCGGCCGTGACGAGGGGCGAGGGGCGCGGTGTTGGTGGTGATGGAGGGTGCAGGGGCAGTTGGCGGACTCGCTGGGGGATGAGGCAGGGCGAGGGCCCCGGACGGACGAGGGAGGAGATGCTTTTTGATGGCAGGAACGCGAGGGCAAGGCGGGATATCGAGGCTTCGGAGAGGAGGATGAGGCAGAGGTCGCCGAGGACGGGGCAGCGGTCGCCGCGGACGGAGACGGAGTGGTGGGAGTGGCTGGATCGCGTGGGAGCGGAGGGGGAGGATCATGAGGGGGAGGATCATGAGCGGGGAGATCATGAGGGGCAGGATCATGAAGAGGGGGAGAGTCATGGGAGAGAGAGGCAGGTAGGCGATGTGTTTGAGATGAGAGAGAGGACGTGACGATCTCCTTTGTCGACGGAGGGATAGGGCTGCTTTTTGAATGATACCCGAGGAGGTCAAGCATGGCATCCGGCGCATCTGGTGGTTAGTTACTGGCGGCATTAGATGGTATGGACAAGATAAGAAGGTCGTGAGCTAGATATGCGTCAGTTATGAGACTGGCGTCTTGATTTCAGACATACATTTCAAAGGTAAAGAAAGGAGTTGATGAAACTGTCTGTCGAAATGTAACCGATGTAACCATAGCTATGCTGCCTTCAACGCCGTGTCACCGTCACCTGCTGTGCTCTCTGCTGTGCTCTCTGCTGTGCTGCCGTGCACCCAGGGTCTGACGGCTGTCCGGGAACAATAAATAGAACGAATCCCCCCACCATGCCAATGGCCGCCTACTGCTGCAGGAAATTCAGGAACCCCCTGCCGACGGCCACACCATCATGCTCGATGCCGGCGCGCTCGACGGCCTCGGTGTACGTGTCGTCGTCAAAAATACCCATCTTGTGCCTGCTCGCGAGGATCTCGGCGACAATAGGCCCCGTGAATTCGGGGTGGCCCTGGACGGCAATGTACCGGCCCTTGGCGTAGTAGCCCTGGACGGGACACGTGTCGGTGGCGGCGAGGCTCTCGACGCCGGACGGCACGTCAACGACCTCGTCGCGGTGCATCTGGTGGATGCGCAGGACATCGAGGCCAAAGAGGTCGCGGGCGACAGGGGTCAGGGTGACGTCGGTGACGGCGACCTCCCAGCCCTTGGGCGAGGTGCGGACGGTGCCGCCGAGGGCGCGGGCGATGATCTGGTGGCCGAAGCAGACGCCGATGGCACGGACGCGGCCCGTGGCGAGGCAGCGGGCGGTGTAGTCGACAAGGGCTAGGATCCAGGGCTCGTCGTGGTAGGCCGTGTGTCTGCTGCCCGTGACGAGGATGGCGTCGATGGTATCGGGGTCGGGGTAGGACGATGGGTCGTTGACGACGTCGTGGGTCGTGATGGTGACGAGCGAGTCGAGGGGTGCGGGCGTCGGCAGCGTCAGGGCGGCGGTGCGCAGGAGGGCCGTGAAGACGCCGCCGTAGCCCTTGTAGGTGGCCTGGGTCTCGGGCAGGGGGGTGTCTGCCTCGAGGATGGCGAGGCGGATGGGAGAGGGCGTGGAGCCCATGGTGTGTGTTTCTGTTACTGTGTGGTTCTGTGTTCTGTGTTCTGTGTTCTGTGTTCCGTGTGTGCTGTGAAGGTCTGTGGGGTTCTTCGTGAGGTCCTTAAGGATGTGCAGTTGTCGTAGATGGCAGAGTCCTTAAGAATGTGACTTTTGATAGATACGACTTCTGATAGAGATCTTGAACGAGCCCAGGTGGATTGAAGAGAAAGGATTGAGGAGAAAGAATGGAGGAGAAGGGGTTGAGGAGAAGGATCAAGAAGGGAGGCCGCGACGAGAAGTCGTGGCAAGAACCACCGGCGGTGAGAATGCCGGACAAGACGGGCAGGGACGATGCCGAGTCAGACCGAGAATGGGCCGTATGTCTTGCCTCGAGAAGGGTGCCTCGGTGGGTCGGACCTGCCTGACCTCACTTCTCGTCTACTTGCTCGCTCTGGGTACCTCCTACCCAAGAACCCCGCGATTCAGGGACCACGCCGATAGCGGCTCTTCTCCATCTCAACCAGCCAAGCCAAGACGATACAAGGGCCATGAAGCTAAGATAAAGCTCTCCGATAAGCCCCACCAACGATGCCTCTTCCTCGCCGAGGTAGGTAGCTACCTTATAGTGGAAGCTCGATGCTTCATGCTTCATGCTTGATGCTGGAAGCTTGATGCTTAGCCCAGTCACCAATTCCATCACCAGCATCCCTCGGGTAGACCGACTGACAACATGCCCCGGCCCTCTCTCGCCGTCTTTCTCGCCCAGGCTCGCGCCGCCCTGACAGCGCCACGCCGCCCAAACACGCCCCTCACCCTCGTCGTCGGCAACGAGTCCGCAGATCTCGACTCCCTCTGCTCAGCCGTCCTCTACGCCTACCTCCGCAGCACGACACCTGCGCAGCCAACCCTCCACATCCCCCTCTCGAACCTGCCCCGCGCCGACCTCGCCTTGCGCCCCGAGCTCACCGCCGCCCTCGCCCGCGCCCGCCTGCGTCCCAGCGACCTCCTGACCCTCGACGACCTCGCCGACACCCTGACCCCCGAATCCACACGTTGGGTCCTCGTCGACCACAACGCCCTCACCGGCACCCTCGCCGCGCGCGGCTTTGGTTCTCGTGTCGTCGGCTGCGTCGACCACCACGCCGACGAGCGCAGCGTGCCGGCCCAGACGGGCGACGAGCCGCGCCTCATCGACACGTGCGGCAGCTGCGCGAGCCTCGTCGTCGAATGGTGCCGGCCCGCGTGGGACGATGCGTTGCAGGGCGGCCGATCGGCACAGGAGGCCGCCGATGCTGGCGCCGCATGGCTCGGTCTCGCTGCCGTCCTCGTGGACACGGCGGGGCTGAAGGCCGCCGACAAGACGACGCCGCGCGACGTGCGCGCCGTCGAGTTTCTCGAGCGCCTCGTCGTCGGCACCGGACAGGAACAGGCCTACGGGCGCGACGCGTACCTCGGCGAGCTGTCGCGCGTCAAGGAGGACCTGTCGGGCATGGCGCTGCGGGACGTCTGGCGCAAGGACTACAAGCAGTGGTACGAGGGCGGCCGCGTCCTCGGCGTGTCGGCCGTGCCGCAGGGGTTGCGCTACCTCATCGACGAGTCGGCGAACGGCGACCAGGATGGCCTGCTCAAGGCGCTGAACGACTGGGTTGACGAGAGGGGCCTCGACGTCGGCGTCGTCATGACGACGTTGCACCCTGGCGGCGACTTTCAGCGGGAGCTCCTCGTGTGGGCCTTTAGCGAGGGCGCCGCCCAGGCGGTCGAGGCGTTCGTCAAGACAAACGAGCGAGAGCTCGGTCTCGAGACGTATGATGACGGCAGGCTCGACGACGTGTCCAATGGTTGGTGGCGCCGCGCGTGGAAGCAGCGGAACGTGGCGCACAGCCGTAAGAGGGTTGGGCCTATGCTGCGCGAGGCTTTGAAGGAAAGTCCAAAGCTGTAATGGCACGATTTTTCCTCGGTCTGTGACCATGTTGCTTTGTATGCCTCCCCAATCCAAAGAGGTCAAGTGCCATGCGCCGTGCTGCTCAAATCTTTCCTACGAGTCTGAGCTCAGTCACGTCCGTGTACATACCTCCATATGGTGCTGTTGCTGGAGCGAATCAATGAAGTATGATTCCAATGTTCAATTTCGTTTCGTGAGACCATCATTTTCGTTCGAGTGTTTTTTTTAATAACATACTGCAGTAGACCAACCAGCCAAAGGCCAACACTGTACAGGCTGTCACTTGGGGGCCCGAACTCGTGTGAACATGACATCGCCATGCAAACATAATCAGGTTGAGAACCCCAAGCCAACCTGGAGGACAACTTCTACACCTCCCAATATTATCTTTTAAAACAGCAAAATAACGTACTCCACAAGCGAGTGGAACACACAAGCGAGTGAAACACTCCGTCGCGATTCCCCAACCACCTATCTTTCATCACCTTTCTACCCACAATTAAACATGGAGACTCCTTGCAAAGAAGCTCAATTGATTCTTGCTACCGAAGCTATCAAAAAAGATCCCAAGCTAAGCATTCGGAGCGCTGCGAAGATCTACAGCGTGAGCCATGTGACGCTAGGCCGACGACTGAAGGGAACTATCTCTCGACGCGACAGCCCTCCGAATTCGAGGACATTGACTTCCTTAGAGGAGCAGACAATTATTGAGAGTATTCTGGACCTGGATTCGCGATCATTTCCTCCCCGGCTTCGTGACGTGGAAGATATGGCCAATAGGCTGCTCGCCGACCGAGGCGCGCCACACGTCGGAGTCAACTGGGCTTCAAACTTCGTCAAGCGACAACCACAGCTAAAGACGCGTTTCTTTCGCAGATACGACTATAAGAGGGCCCAATGTGAAGATCCAGACGCGATAAACGCGTGGTTTCGCCTTGTACGGAATGTGGTTGCGAAGTACGGCATTGCGGCCGCAGATATTTACAACTTCGATGAGACCGGCTTTATGATGGGCGTTATCTCAACAGGAATGGTCGTCACAAGCTCGGAAAGGCGCTCAAATACGAAGCTCATACAACCTGGAAATCGACAATGGGTCACAGTGATCCAGGGGGTTAATTCCCAAGGCTGGTGCGTCCCGCCGTTTATCGTGGTCGCAGGCAAATATCACCTCTCGAGCTGGTACGAAGAAACATCCCTACCAAAGGATTGGGTTATCGCCACGACTGAAAACGGATGGACTACCAATAGAACAGGACTGGAATGGATTCGGCACTTCGATAAGTACACCAGGCCTCGCACAACAGGCACACATCGACTCCTCATTCTAGATGGACATGAAAGTCACCACTCGATCGAATTCGACGCCTACTGCAAGGAAAACAACATTATCGCGCTCTGTATGCCGCCTCATTCATCTCATTTACTCCAGCCTCTCGATATTGGCTGCTTTGGCCCGCTTAAGCAGGCGTACGGTCGGCAAATCGAGAAGAAGATGCGGGCGGGTATAAGCCATATCACCAAGGAAGACTTCTTCCCTGCGTTTCTTACAGCATCCCAAGAGGTAATGACGGAGAAGAACATCCAAGGGGCCTTTAGGGGAGCTGGACTCGTTCCTCATAACCCGGAAGCAGTCCTTTCGAAGCTGGATGTGAAGTTACATACCCCAACGCCTCCAGGGAGCAGTGGAGGGATACCCGAACCTTGGGTCTCGAGGACGCCCAACAATCCGATTGAGACGACTTCGCAGTCTGAGTACATCAAAAATCGGATTGCCCGTCATCAAGATAGCTCACCAACGTCTATTCTCGGCGCCGTTGACCACTTAGCAAAGGGAACGCGGAGTATCATGCATAAACTCACCCTCGTACAGTCCGAGGTCCAGCTCATACGAGGGGAGCTAGAGACCCTAAGCAAGCGTCGCAGAGCGAAGAAAAAGCGTCTCAGGCAAGGGGGAAGCATGTCTATAGCCGAAGCAGAGGACATTCAAGCCCAGAATGAGGTAGACGTCCAGATGAAGCAGGAAACGCAGCTGAGTAGGGGTCGTAAGCAGGGTATAGAATTGGCCCCTCGACGCTGTGGAACATGCGGCAAGGCAGGACATAACTCAAGGACCTGTCAGATCATTACACTGTACAGGCTGTCACTTGGGGGCCCGAACTCGTGTGAACATGACATCGCCATGCAAACATAATCAGGTTGATATTTGTGCGGTCGTGGTTGAGTGTTTCACTCGCTTGTGTGTTCCACTCGCTTGTGGAGTACGTTAGCAGAAACGTCCCAAACTGGCATTTATCACGTGTATCACAGCCCGACATTCCAATGATTAGACGAGTAGATGAAAATTGTCACCTCGAGTGCGCCGCTCCTATGCCTATGACAGTTGATGCCTTGCCAGATGCCTACTAAATCTTACACTGCTATACACGGTCGTACATTTTATACATCCCCCTACCTCAGAGACGCCCCGTCTTCTCGATGCGCTGTCTCGTCGCGTCGAAATCCCGGTACATTTTAACAAACTCGGCATTGGCCTTCCTCTTGACGATCCACTCCTCCTTGCTGGCCGTCGTCTCGCGCAGCACGGGCGGCGTCTCGGCCAGCGCCTCGGCGCCCGCGTCGACGACCAGGAGGCACGCCCGCAGCGCCTTCCAGACCTCGCCGACCGGCAGCACGGGCGGCGCCTCGTGCATCATCTCGGGCGCGCAATGCCGCAGCACCTCGATGCACCAGTCCCGGCGCTTGAGCATGGCGGCGCGCTCAAACATGTACCGGTAGAGGAGGGGCCCGCGCGGGGCGCCGTGGCGCGGCGGCGTGCGCCACGTCTGCCAGAAGCGGTCGAGGTTCTTCTGGCGGTGGTACGCCTCGAGCAGGCGGAGAAGGTGCATCTCGCTGGGGCAGGTCGTGACGGCGTGCGTGAGGAGGTACTCGACGTTGCTCTGGATCTGGCGGATGCGGTCACCCTGCGCGCCCGACTTGACGATCGACTCAATCATCGTGACGAGAACGTCGTGGTTCAGGATCGGCAGACCGCGTCCCGTCATGGTCTCGAGCAGCGACAAAGCAAGGGTGGCCTGCTCGACAGATATGTCTTCATCGACGGGGACGGACCGAAAGATGGAGCCCAGCAGCTTGAGTCCGTTTTCCGCCGTCACGGGAGCGCCTCCTTCCCGAATGTCGTCAATCTTCAGACGGGCATCCTTGAGTATGGCGTCGACGTCCGTTTCGAGACCTTGGGCAACAGAGGGCGTCGCAAGCTGCCTCGCAGAGGTGGAAAATCCCCTCTTCTGGGCGAACGCTGGCTTCGGCTGCACCCGGGGTTTTCGGCTTGGGAGGCTGTGCGCCAAACTTGGCATAAAAGGCCTTCTCCTCGGCGTCCACCTCGAGCGTATTTTTCGCCTCGTTGGCTCTCCTCAACTGGCCCATCCAGAGGTGTTCGAGGTTCAACTCTGTCCGGCGGGATTCCGTCATGACCTGGACGACAAGTGTCGTGCCGGTAGCAGGTCCACCGAATCCAGACATCTGGCCCAAGCTGTCGAAGCTGGCGGCCTCCTTGACGTCCGAGCCTTGGGTGCCCAGGTTGACACAAATCCAGCCAGTCGTAATGCCATCGTCGCCGCCCTGCACCACAGCGCTGGTGCCCATGAGTTTCGCCTTCTTTCGCAGTCTGCGCAGCTTGGTCTTCAGCTCGCCAGGGCCAATGAGGCCCGCGGCGCTGGCGTCAATCTTGTACTTGTTACGCAGCCACTTGACCAGTCGGCTGGATGAGACGTGAAGGTGGCGTTCGCCTCGCGCGGTACCAAAGAGCATAAGGAGGTTGGGGCCCAGGGCTGGCGGGGGGTCCATTTCACGAAGGTCAAGAAGTTCCAGGTCGTCGAGGCCCATCTCCTCGTAGGCAAATTTCATGATGTGCTCGAGGATTGAGGGCGCGCCATCGGGGACTGTGGGGAGGGTAGGGACATGCTGCGTGGGCGCATGGACGGGCGCATCGACCTGGAGATACCACGGCGTTTCGGAGCTTGCTTCGGTAGTCTTGTCGTCGCCAGCGCTGGTGTCGGCCTCGGCGATGGAGGCAGCTTCCAACGCATCGATCGCATCTTCCACGGCCTTTGGTTCCTCTATCGTGACGGAAGGCTTCTCCCGGAGCTCAGGGTCTGTATCTTTGGATTGAAGAGCGCCTCCCGTGCGGGCGGATGTGAAGGATCGGGTCGCTGGCACAGAGCTGCGGATGATTCGAGATGGAGCTGCCTGTGATCGAAGAGCTGGCCGAGACGCCGAGGCCACAGCCCTGAGAGCGGCTGTCCTGCATCGGAAGCAGCCTAATGCCGTCATTGCCGGTCGAGACGCCATTGTAGGGGTGGCAGGTCCTTGGATGGAGAGGTGGTAGATAGTTTCCGATGCTTCGACATGCACAGCCTGCCTAATCTGGCACGTCAAAAAATGGAAGGTTTCAGTACGGCGGACTCTTGCAGCCAAAAGAAAGCTTCAACACTGGCAAGGCTGGCAAGAACCCAAAGTCCTGGTTTGTCCCACTTTCCGCGTCTTCGCGTCCCGTCAGGCGTTGTGGCAAGCACGAGAGCACGTGACCGTGGTATGACAGAATCGCAATTGGCCAGTCACAGGAGCAGGTGGGTCGCAGGACCCCGGCAGCCAAGGGCAAAAATTTCGGGGAGCTCAGCGTCGACTCCTTATCGACGAGAGAGTGAGTCTTGGACGATTACCTCTTGTCTCTGCTCCCCATCGCCGTTCACCACCTGCGACACGTCCCAGCGCAATAGACGTCCACATTCCCTCCCATCCAGCATTAGATCTTTAATTATCTGCCTTTCTTATCCCATGTACTTGTTTGTTTCTTGACTCTTCGACATCCCGCCAGCTCACCGAGCTACCCCAGTCCTTCCGAATTCCTCCCTATCGCGTGCCCCAGCAAATTCGTCAAGATGCTCATGCGATCAGGCAGAAGACACCTTAGCCTCCATCACGCCGCCACATTACGGCCATCCCAACCTCTCATAAAATGCATCAGTGCAAGCACAAATTTGGCATGCTCCAGCAGGAGAAGCCTCGTCACGAAATCTGAGCTGCGGATCTTCAAGAGGAGGCGAAGCTTCGGCGCTGCCGCAGGATTTTCCCACGGACGCACTCTGGCCACCGCAATGGACGACGTCCCTCTCACGGAGCCATCGTCCTTTGGCGGCATGAAGGCCGCAGCGATGCCCGCCTATCCTTCGATGATCAACCGACCCAGATACCACGACCTCCGCGCCTTTGACCCCTCTTCGCCCCTGAGGGTTCAGGAGGCTACGGCCCCTATTCCCCGAGCCCGAACAAGTCTCACGGGCGTCCCTGGTGACGTGGATGAGATGGTCGCCATCTTCGACGCCTGCCTCCGAGTCGACAACCTGGAACGTGCTGGCCTCGTCCTCAAGCGTCTCGGTGCAGTGGAGGGCGTACCGAGCCAGGAGCTCATGATTCTTGGCAACCAGTTCCTGCGGGCCTCTCTCGAGCAGCTGCGCTCGCATCCTGACAGGAAACAAGCCGGAGATCTGCACAAGTGGTACGAGCTGTTCGTTCGTGGCAAGGGTCTGCCTCAGACCGCCGAGACCGTGGCATGCATGTTGAAGGCTTCTCTGCTCTCTGAACACCAGCCCGGCAGGCTCGACCGCCTGGTGCTGCGTTATATGAGCATGGCACCGGGCGAGGCTGGTCTGCGGGTCTTGTCCATGGCCGACATTCTGAATGATCAAGATCTTGCCACCATCACAGAAGTCTGCCCAACGTACAACCTCGCCCCCGAAGAGCCTTCTGCCGCAGTTGAGGAAGCCGAGGAAAAAGCCACCCAGCCCACTCGCCTCCCGCCCCAGCTTCTTGGCGAGCTTCCTGAAGTCCTGGCCACCCCTCAAAAGGGATTCGGTCTCAAGACTCTCAAGCAGACTCTAACCCTTTTCGACAAGATGCCTCAGGACTGCGATATTTCGACCCTCTCCTACGAGCAACAACGCGAGATTCAGGCCCGGCTGGAACGTGACTGTATCGACGCAGCCGTCGAGCGATGGCGCGAGGAGAACGAATCGCTGAAGAAGATGGGTCTCAACAGCTCCGTGTCCGCCGCTTCTTTGAACTCGCGTCTCTACGACTGGCAGCTCGCCCTGGAAGCTCGCCTCACCGACGAGATGCGCAAGGTTGAACTCGCCGAGGCCAAGCCCAGGAAGACCCCCGAAGACTACGATCGTTGCACATACGGCCCTTTCCTCCGACTCTCCACCCCCAGCCGCTTGGCTGCGGTAACAATTCTCGGCACCCTGAGCTCCACGGCCATCCTTGGTGTCGACAAGGGCATGCCCCTCTCGGCAGCTCTGAGCAGCCTCGCGAAGCTGGCTGAGGAGGATATTCGCGCGCAACTGACCGTCCAGAACAGCAAGACGAAGACAAACAAGTCGAAGCGGAGGCGGGTTGTGCAGGTCGCCAGCAAGTCGTCAAAGCTAGATGCTGTGCGCGCTGAGCTCGGCGCCGAGGGCGAAGTCAAGCCGCTCGCCAAGGACACTGAGCCAAGGGCAGACACTCCGTGGCCTGTTGCCGTCAAGGCCAAGGTTGCCGCTGCTCTTCTTTCCGCTCTAATCGATACGGCCAAGATCAAGGTCGTCAAGGAACACCCCGAGACCAAGACGCTCATCAGTCAATACCAGCCGGCCTTCTCGCACGCCACCCAGCTCCGCCGTGGTAAGAAGATCGGCATGGTCCTGCTCAACAAGGAGCTCGTCAACATTATGAAGCGCGAGCCGCAAGGCGATTTCCTCGCCAAGCACTTGCCCATGGTTGTCAAGCCCGAGCCATGGTCCAAATTCGACAAGGGTGGCTTCCTTGAGAGCACGAGTAACCTCGTCCGCGTCAAGCACGGTGACAAGGATCAGAGAATCTACACCGAGGCGGCCATTGCTCGAGGTGACATGGACCAGATCTTCAAGGGCCTCGACGTCTTGGGCCAAACGGCATGGCGCATCAACGCACCTATCCTCGAGGTCATGCTCGCAGCATGGAACAGTGGAACGGCCCTCGCAAACATTCCCGCCCTGAACCCTGATGTTCACGTCCCTACCGAACCTGCCGCGTCTGAGGACCCGACGGAGCGTCGCCTTTGGCTTCGCGCTGTCAAGGCTGCCGAAAATGAGCGAGGTGGTCTACATTCTGTTCGTTGCTTCATGAACTTCCAGCTTGAGATTGCTCGCGCGTTCCGCAACCAGACCTTCTACTTCCCCCACAACATCGATTTTCGAGGCCGCGCCTACCCCTTGCCAACATATCTCAACCACATGGGCGCCGATCACGTCCGCGGCCTCCTCCGCTTTGCCGATGGCAAGGAGCTTGGTGAAAAGGGCCTCAAGTGGCTAAAGGTTCACCTCGCCAATGTCTACGGTTTCGACAAGGCCAGTCTGCGGGACCGCGAGTCTTTCGCCATGGACAATCTGGTCAACATCTTCGACTCGGCCAGCAAGCCCATGGAGGGCAACCGGTGGTGGCTCAAGGCTGAGGACCCGTGGCAGTGCCTCGCCGCGTGCTTTGAGCTCAAGGCCGCGCTTGAATCGCCGGAGCCGACCAAGTTTGTGTCTCACCTTCCCGTACACCAGGATGGAACGTGCAACGGTCTTCAGCACTACGCCGCACTGGGCGGAGACACATGGGGTGCCAAGCAGGTCAACCTCGAGCCCGGCGACAAGCCTGCAGACGTCTACTCAGCCGTTGCCAACATTGTCAAGGACTACATCGCGAAGGATCTCGAGACGAACAACCCATTCGCCATTGCAGTCAACGGCAAGATCACGCGAAAGGTCGTCAAGCAGACTGTCATGACCAACGTGTACGGTGTCACGTTCCAGGGCGCCAAGAAGCAGGTCCTCAAGCAGCTTGATGCCATTTACCCCAATCTTCCCATAGAGAGTGGCATCAGCTCAATGATGCTTGCCTCGTACATTGCGACTCTCATCTTCAAGGCTCTGTCGTCCATGTTCAGGGGCGCCCACGATATTCAGTACTGGCTGGGTGAGATTGGTGGCCGCGTTTGCCGTGCCCTCTCCGCGGAGCAGCTAGAGCGGATCGCGGCTGACGGCATCATCGTCTCGCCATCGTCGGTCAACCGGTTCAAGATTACAGAGAAGAAGGAGTCGTCGACGGATGACCTTCTCGCGCAGTTCCGCGCCACGATTGTGTGGACGACGCCTCTCCGCATGCCCGTCGCTCAACCGTACCGCAAGTCAGGCACGCGCATCATCAAGACGTCTCTGCAGGACTTGTCGCTCACGGTGCCGGAACGTTCCGACCCCGTCAACCGCAAGAAGCAGCTGCAAGCGTTCCCGCCCAACTTTATCCACTCCCTCGACGCCACGCACATGCTGCTCTCGGCACTCGAGTGCTCGGAGCTGGGGCTGTCGTTCGCCGCCGTTCACGACTCGTTCTGGACCCACGCCGCCGACATTGACTCGATGAACCGCGTGCTTCGCGACTCGTTCATCCGCATTCACGAAGAAGACGTCATCGGGCGCCTCGCTGCCGAGTTTGAGGCTCGGTACAAGGGCTCCATCTACCTGGCCAAGGTCAACTACGGCACGGCGGTCGAGAAGGAGGTTGCGGCGTGGCGCAAGCAGAACAGGATGAACACCAAGGAGGAGCTTCTGCTGGAGTACAAGAGGCAGCAGCTGCTGCGTTCCGACGATGCGGCGCAGGTCGAAGAGGGCCGTCAGATGGTGACGCCGGCGAGCATTTTTGATTCGATGGCGTCATCCGAGGCGCTCGCGCAGCCGGAGGACATGGAGGAGCTCGGTCTCGGCGAGATTCCCGAGGGCGCCAACTCGATTGAAGCGATCCAGGCCGAGGCGCTCGCCGCGGCGCGCGCCGAGTATGCGGGCGAGGGCGGCGAGGAGGGCGAGGACGTCGAGGAGGCGTCGTCGGCGGCCACGGCCGACGAGGGCGCGACGACGGAGGACTGGGGCAAGGTGGTCAGCGCCATGGACAAGTCGCACTTCACCAGCGTCGTGTTCGCGTCGGAGGAGTCGAAGAAGCGCAAGCCGGTGCAGAGGACGATCCAGATCTGGTTGCCGTTGTCGTTCCCGGCGATCCCGAAGAAGGGCGATTTCGACGTGCGACGACTACGGGAGAGCGAGTATTTCTTCTCGTGAGGTGATGCGCGGGTGTAGGGTGCATATTGCATAGTGCATGGTGCATGGTGCGTGGTGCATGGTGCACGAGACGGCGTTTTTGGGATACGAGGGCGTTTTGGCAGGAAAACTACCAGCATCATAAGGTATTTCGGGGAGGCATTGTGCCTTGAAGAGTTGATTCACTTAGGGGGGCGGCTGTACCATTTTTGTATACTTGGACCGCATGGCGGCTGTATCATTAGCAAGACAAGCGAGTGTCTAGAATCAGACGTGTATATCACCATGCGAGGCAGTTCACAATGGCAATAGTATTAAAGTCGTGGTCATTACCAGAGGGTCGCCATCGTCTCGGCCGAATGATAGGACGGGCGACTGCATCCATCCCAAGAAACCCCTGAGGCGTGCCCCATCGGGGCTAGGGGGACACCAAATGGTTCTGGAAGCCTGCGAGTCATGCGCGGGTGTGCCATGTAAGAGTGAATATGGATTTCCCGCCTCGTGTTGGACGTGCTGTTCCCCGCATTCTCCAGATGGGCTAGTGGCCGTCATTTGCGTGTGTGAAGAGTTCATGGCGACAGGTCGCTCTGACTCTTGTGTTTGAGAGAGAGAGAGAGAGAGAGAGAGAGAGAGAGAGAGAGAGAGAAAGAGAGAGCGAGTCAATTGACGGAAGAGGATATACCTCATGATTCTCATGGAGGATGGACAAACGACCGCCAAGCCGTCAGAGTCATGCGCAGCCACTGAGAGCGAGGCCGTCCCGCCAAGGCACGTTGGGGGCTCCAGGGGAAAGACTGGTACCTTTCAGGGGTTGAGGGGGCCAGGCCCAGGGGACGTCGTGGTTGCTACCACTGCTTTAGGGGCCGACTCGGGTGAACTATATTCACCCCGGGTGAGCACGACAGCCCCGCACCAAGGACCAAGGCTGCTCAGGTCCCACCGTTGGTCATTGGCCGCTGCTCGTTGGCGATTGGTTCCCGATTGGTTCCCGCGGCCAGCCTCTCCGATAATCAATCGTCCCTCCCTCCACCTCCCACCTCCACCCACGGCGGGCACCACCCACGGCGGGCACCACCCACGGCGGGCACCTCCCTCCATTGGCCCAGGGCCCAGTTCTGGTTTGCTCGAGGAGACGTTGGCGAGCTTCGTCGTCCTCGTCCCGTCTCTTTGTTGCTGTGCCTCTCTCCGTCCTGCGTCCCATCCAAACGACATCCGAACGAACAGGGCCGACCAGCGAACAACAGCTACCCCAATCGCGGTCAAACGGGATACGACCCTTGCCGTCATCAAATTACACTCTCCCGTGAGAGCATACGACCAAGGTACCTACGAATGCCTCCCCAACGCCAGGCGACTCGGTAGCAACGACCGCCTGCGCCGAGAGGCCCTGCCAGCGCCGCCGTCTTCATTCGGCCGCTGCCGTCTCTCGAGAGCTTTCTCGTCAGACCAAAGAAAAAAAAAAAAAACTGATCCCCCGGTCTTGGGTGCGCCAGCTTCGTGCACATACACACCGACCAATATGACTCGCTCGCGCGTCCCCTCGCTCTACGGCGTCTTCCAGTTCTGCTGCCGCCTGTTGCTCATCGTCGTCGAGGTCTGCGCCCTCGCCTCGCTCATCACGCTCTCGCGCTATGGCGATTCTTTTCCCATTGGCTACGTAGCTGTGAGCTGCTCCCTCCCTTGGCTGCCTTGGCTGCCTTGCCTGCCTTGACTCCGGAACGAGAGAGGGAAGACAAATGCTGACGAGATCCCCCCCACCCAACAGGTCATCTTCGGCATCCTCTTCTCCATGGTCGAGCTCGTCACCCTCGCCAACGCAACCCACCAGATCCCCCGCCTGCGCACCGCCTTCCTCGCCCTCTTCGACCTCCTCCTCTGCGTCCTCGGCATGGTCTCCTTCTTCTACGTCATGATCCGCCGCGGCTGGCGGCCCCAGCAGGGCCGCGCCTACTCCCGCGACGACCCCTACCGCGACGACAAGGCCACCTGGGCCCCCTGGTACACCTGGCTGCAGCTCACCGCCGCCATCCTGCACTTTCTCTACATGCTCATGCACTGCGTCAGCGCCTGCCGCGAGGGCCGCCGCGACCCCGAGGCCCGCCGCCGCCGGAGGGGGCCCGTGGCCCGCTGGCCGGGCGCGTGACGCCAGGGGCGGCGTGGGCGTGCGCCGGGGGAGGGACAGGGGCATGGGGCTGCTGGCGGTGGTAGGTTGGCCGTGGAGATGTCTGGTGGTGTTGCCTCTACGGAGAGGCCATGACGATGCAGCATGCTTCGTGGCAGCGAATACTACCAGAAGAGACAGGCTCGAAAGAGTCTTCCTTGAGATGACAAACAGAAAGAGACGGACCGTGCCGGAAACGAACAGACTGAGAGAGAACGAACCAAACAAGCGCTTGGGAGGGTTTTACCACGTAACAGCCAATTCGGCACGCAGCGGGTGGTATATGACTGCTAGAAACCGGGGAACGTCGATGAAGCACATTCGGCGATATACGAGTACAAAGAGCATGCGACGGAACATTATTCAGCTCAAGCACCACACGGCGATCGGCGTTTTAGTGCCCCTGCGTCATGCGACGCTTTGGGGGTACTTTTCGATTTCTTCTATTTAGCATTGGGACATTTGGGATTGCCATAGAGAAAGCGGGCACGGTGCGTTTCTTTGGACTTGACCTCGCTCCGGCCTCAGGGCGCTAGCCCCAAGGTCTTGCTAATTGTAGAGCGGCAATGACGACAAGATTATGATTGACAGTCTGCGTGCGACTTTGGTGTTCATGTGCAAGAGAGGAAACTGGGAAAGTCACGGGCATGAATCGCAAGGCACAGGGTATACATTGATCTAGGTTCTCGCCGTTGCCAATCGCTCCAGATCTCCAGCCTGCCCAACAGGTCTGGACTCTTTTGCGCGAGCTACGACACAACGGCAGCGGTCCATAGAAGAGTGCCTGCATCAGCTGACATGGCCGGAGCAGGGCAGGCCGTGCGCTACCCTTACTTAGAAGCAACCGCCGATGCAGCTGTTCAACACACAGAGACCAACGCAGCAGCATCCGCCGCAGGACGATCCCAGGATGCAGCCGAGCTCAGGGCCCGCTCCGTTGCCGTTGGGGTTGGGCGAGGTGAGGCCTCCGTCGGTCGTCTGGGGAGGGGGAGGGTTCGTCGCCTGCGCCTTTTCCTTGAGAGCTTCGAGCTCAGCCGGGCTTAGGAGGCCCTGGACGATCGATATCAGCATGTTTCCTCACAAGAGAGAACGCAGATGACACGCAGGGAGAGGAGGGACTACGCACGAGGAAAGCCTTGACGTTGTCGTCGGCGTTGGCGACAAAGTTGTCGTCCGCGAGCTCGGTCGTGGGCGCAACACCCACGCCTTCGCTGGAGCTGCACCAGGGCTTGACGTACCCGGACAGCGCGGCAGGGAGGCAGTCGACGCATTCGCAGATCTAGAAGGAGAGAAACCGTCAGGCCAAGCCAAAAGACCGTGTGTGAAGAGAGAGGCGACAGGACCGGGGTCTCTGTGCCATGGGGAGGTCCACTCACGTCGGTCTTGCCAATGCCGCACTGGAGAAGGGCCGAGGGGTCCCTGTTCTTGATGGCCGTGTAGATGCAGGGCACTTCCTTGGCCACGGTGAAGATGCAGCCGAAGCAGCTGCCTAGCGGGGCCGCGGCGCCGAGGCCGCCTTCGCTTGAGCCGGTGCCGGGGCTGGCGCCGAGGCTGCCGTTGTTGGAGCCGGGGGTGCCGAGTCCGACGCCGCCGTGGCCAGGGCTTCCGTGGCCATGCTCGGAATGACCGTGGTACATGGGGTTGAGAAGGTACGGGCCCACTATGGTGGATGTCAGCGTCCGGAGCGTGTAGTTGGCGTTGTGCGACTTACTGTGTTTGGCCAGGCAGAGCTCAAGGCCAGCAGGGATGAAACCAGTAGCTGAGAAGGGTTCGAGTCAGCTCCGGAATGCAGGCAACATGTTGAGTCCTTGAGCGGGCACGGAACGACAGCCGGCCAATCCTCCCGGCGCTGCATTTTGCATGTCACTCACCATACTTGGCATCCCAGGGGACGACGTGGTCGCCAGTCTTCTTCTTGCAGTCCTTGGCGGGCTGGCTGCTGTGGACGGGGCCAGCGTTGACGGCGCCGAAGATGGTCGCAGCGACGGCGAGGTGCGTGAGGAACTTCATCTTGTTCAAGGGATGTTGTATTCAGAAATGACAGTGTGTTTGGGGGACTGGGGTGGAAGTAATGACTGTGAGTTGCCGGATGAAGCTTTCGGATCAAAGAACGACATGGGCAAGCTGCTCAGCACTGCTTCTTAAATATCCGGTTCTGTTGTTGACGGCCTGAGAAATGCGCCAGCTCGACGATGTGGTTCCCAGCGCGAACTTCGAAAACGAGTATTCTGAACATAACAGCACTGTTGGATAGGAATGCTATTTTCCTGGACGTTCACCGAGACGGACAACCTGTCAGTTCTCTCAAGTCTTGAGACTTGGAGGCCCTACGTTGAGGGGTTGTTGCTGAGACATCCTGATCGTACGCCCTCGAATCACGATTGACGGAGCTCGAACACCGCGAAAGCCACGAGGCGGCAACCTTAAGGAAGAAATGTTCTTGTCCTCAGTCTCAACGAACTAGCCAACTAGGATCTCTTCCCCGCGCTAGACCTACTGGAATGCTGGCATCCACCACGCGGCGGACCGATGCGGCGCTCTAAATCATGGAGTTAACGCTCCTTAATGTTTCTTATTCGCCAAACGGCCCTGCATGAGCATTTAATCCCAATCGAAGTGAGCAGAAAAGTCTTGGCCATATCTTAGAAAGCCGCGATGTGCTAGGTACGTTCCTGACAAGACCTCAGCCGCACTTGAGCTGCTTTCCACCTGTTTCGCGAATTACGCTCGAGTTGAACTGCTTCCCACCATTCTCGCGCCAAAGTATGCTACGTAGCTCGAGTTGTCATAAGAGAAAACAGTGATAGACCGGTCGAGGTCTGGCCCATACCTTGCGCTGCTGAGCATAGTATTGGGAAGATGACTTTTGACTCAGAGTCATAAAACTTCCCCTGCAAGCGAGCCCGTGAGGGTAGCCGAGCTTTTACCCCTGTCTGCCGTAGTCTGCACTGCTATACAAGAAGATGACCTTTTTGCTCATGCCAAGGCCAGGCACTCGTCTTTCTGCACCCGGGACCGATCTCGCGCGTACAATGTTATTCCTCGCGTACGCAACAGGGTCTATAGACCCCCCCGCTCTCAAGAAGCCATCACCCTGACGGCTGATCGAATACCGCTCTACAAACCCGGAGCAAGACCTTGCAGAGCATACTAAGAGTCATGTAGGCGTCGTGGGTTGATGACTTGGCAGTAGGGGCCCTAGGATCCTGTCGCGTAACCGGGTAATGACATATTATGTTTGAGTTCGTGGTACTGGGTATACGAGTGTGAACTATCAAAGGCAGAGCAGGAGCTTGACCATCCTCACGGACACTAGAACCCATGCGACGATTCACATTCATATGTCAATGACCCATTGGCCTCAGCATCATTACATCATCACAGTCGCTGGTGGTGTTGTTGTTGTTGCAGCTACACCTAACACTTTCCCTGGTTCAATGTTCGTGTCGGAATCCGCGACACGAATCTATCCGTGCACAGAAGCCTTTACTGGAAGATGGAAATATGGCCGAAAAAGGGCCTGGAATCTGCTTGCAGTCTTATTCTAACATTGGCCACTGTTCGTCTCCTGGCTCTGTGAGGGCCAATGAAGGACTGTCGACACGGAACGTGATCTCATCAATGCATAGTGCTGAGCATTTGCAAAATTTGAGGCAACCTAAGGGATAATGACAACCTTAGTGTATTGTGGTTTAGCCATCCAGAGAGGGAGACATGGTGTTTGCTGGTCTGGAGTACAATAATGCCACGGCACAAAACAACTGGGGAATCGAACCGGGACAAGCGACTAGACGAATAACGCCCCCGGAGCTCTCTCTCTCTCTCTCTCGTATACCTTATGCAGGAGAACTTTTTGCAATTGTTGACCGGATTCTTTGCATGTCCACCTGTATCAGTCTTTGAGCACGCGATAAGCGGCACCACAAACGAGAAGGCCAGCACGGGTAGTCGTCGGGAGCCCAGTGACGCCGTTAGGAGGTGTGCCCGCGGGAACATCAGATCCCTGAGTCGATGACAACACCAGCTGAGCAAATGGCGCCAGATATGCCAAGGCGCGGTCGCGTGGATTGATGACCAAGTGACGTTGGCACTGGCAGCTGGTTGACTCGACGGAGTCCCTCAATACCTACCTACGAAGAGTGCTAATTGAGGGAAGCAACGCACTGGACGAACAGCGCGGCGCCTTGGCGATTGATCCACTGAAATTTATAATGTGGTTGCGAGTCGAGGGGGAGGCAAGGTGGGAAGAGGTCCCCTGTCGCGACTCGCGAGTGTCTTTTCCGCAGAGTCCCAGTGTTACAGGCGAATACAGACAGAACACGCACGACTCGGCAGTTAGTCAAGGCCAGGCCTCTCTACCTGTCATGAACCAGGCGGGTGACATAAAAAGCCGCGTGGGAAAAGGATAGGTACCTGTATTTAGTTAGGGACCCCATATAGATAGATAGTTATCCTGCCCTTTATTTCTATGATGTGTCGCATCCTCTATCCCTTTGGTGCCCAAATTTGGCCTCAGTACTTCGTATGATCGACAGCCGAGTGGCAGAAGATACATGTCACCAATTGAATTAAAGGATATAGTGGGCGGTACAACTAGATGCCTGTGCGGTACCTATACTCTATAGGCACATTCGCGCTCTCAACTGTGTACAGAGCTTGTACCTACTGAGATCCACCTTAAAGCTCTTTAAGCAGGCGGTGATCAATGTATGTACTGAGGCCAAATTTGGGCACTAAAGGGATGACATTGAGTCAATTCAGTGATTGACGCGTTCTGGATGTACTTTGAGGTCTACATAGTACCTAGGGGCTCTATAGCTAGAATTAGTGGTGATGGAATTGGTGGTGGAATTGCCACGCGGCTGATTTTGTCAACCGCCTTGTGAACGAACAGAGATCAATCTGATCAATCTGACTCCGCGCAATGTGGCTCTGGCTTGCAGTTAGGTCTCTTAGTGTTCGAGATGCCCATCGGGGGTCATCACGAAGCCTAGATTCTCCTGTCTACTTGTAAATACCTAGGTACCCTGACCATCTAGCATCCACCTGCCTAGGGCCTACAGCAGGACCTGGAGAATGACGAAATCCGCCAGGCCAGCCAGCCACGCACCCGGCCCCATTGGTTCCACGACAAGTCTTTTTTCGCGCTGAGTGGCCCAGGCTTTCTGAATGAGGCTCTTGGCATGCACCAGGGTTACCCTGGTCGCATCCAACGTCCTTCCATTGCCACCATTCAAGTCGCGCGGGAGAAGCAAATGGTCGCAGGTCACAACAAAGATGAGGACAACGGAACCAAGATCCATCTTCTCATGGGGAGGGTCAATCCTTTTCTGGCCGTATCCAGGGGGCACAGACGGTCGAGTCGATGGTATGGAACTGTGAGTTTCGCCTCCAGCAAAATCTGCATTACCCCACAGCCACGGCACGGCGAACTGGCCCACCACTCCACGATGGCTCGGGGAGATGGACAGATTCCCAGCCGGGCAATAGCCCGGCAAGGCAGAGGCAGATACAGAGAGACAGACCGCTGCTGGTGGCCCGTAGGAACCAGAGAAGGGAAAGGAGGCAGGATATTGTGACCGGCGTCCCCGGTCGCGCGCCACCCCGCCAAGGCGCCGACGCTTGGCGTTTGCTGCCGTCGTCCGCGCCCGCGGCCAGGAAGCAAGCAGCCTGGCAAGAGCGCCCCAAGGCTCTGGACGTCATCCCGCAGTGTCGCTGCTCTCCGACCTACCAGCAGGAACGCAAGTAGGTAGGTACGCTTGACTTCTGCCTGCCTCGTCTTCTTTTCCAGCCATCCAGCCATCCAGCCATCCACACCACCCCACTCCGTTGGATGCTCCGTCACATCTCTCCCCCCAATCCTCCTGTTCCTAACCTGCCAACCTTGTATCGACCTCGTCTGTCGTCCACTCAGACATGCCGACCAGACTCTTGTTCCCTGGGCCACGGGAGACGGCGTGGTATCATCTTGCATCCAGTCTTGGGGAGAGCACGCCATACCCCCGGTCCGCTCTACACCCACCCACTCACCTTGACCTTCCCTTGTGTCTGGCCGGTACACCTCGAGTCCACTCCTGACGACAGCGACGCGGGTTTTGCATCCTCTAGCTTTAATCGGAGGGGCCGGCCTAACGACTGCGTGGTAGACGAAGGCGAGCTTGACAGACGCAGACCCTTCGTTGCCAAGAAACAAGCTCGCCTGTCTTAGACCCATCTGTTCCCTGCAGTCGGTCGTGGCCATTGCGAATAAAAGACGGCCAACCTTCCAGATCTATTCTTTACGATGGCGTGCTCCTGTTCTCCTGCCCTTCTTGCTTCTCCCCTTCCTTATCGACACCCTCATTGAACTGTCGACCGCCGTGGGCCCAACCACGCAGAAAGCTTACTCTGCAGGACCCTGTCTGAAAACCTTGTCACAACCCGATCACCTTTGCTACGCACACTCCCATGCAGACGACGCACACCTAGAAGATCCTCCTCAATCCCCTCCCTCGATATCGTCGGGACGTCTCAACTCCAACATGGGCGCTCTCGGTATCCTCAAGAAGGTCGGCGGCTGGTTCGCTCCTCCGCCCGACAAGGCCGACGACGGTCGCGATGTCTGGCCCTCGCGTGCTGCCTTCTTGCTGGCTTCCATGGGTGGATGCGCTGGCATGGGTAACCTGCTTCGTTACCCTTCGCAGGTCTACAACAACTACGGTCTCCAATGGTTCATCCCCTATCTGATGGCCGTTTTCCTCATCGCCATTCCCGTCCTCATTCTCGAGATTGCCATTGGCCAAGCTTTCCGCGGCGGCTCCGTCATCGCCTTCAACAACATCAACCAGCGCCTCAAAGGCACCGGCATGGGCTTGCTCTACATTGGCTTCGTTGTCGGCCCCTATTTCACCGTCAATTTGGCCTGGATCATGACCTACTTTCGTGCTTCTTTCCAGAGCCCCTTGCCGTGGGGCGGCCGTGGTCAGGAATTCTTTGATGACGAGGTCATCAGGAATCCGCCCCCAATCCCGGCAGACGAGAGTGCGTCGGGATTTGTGGAGTACCCTCATGTTGGCATGCTTGGCGAGACATCTGGGTGGATGGTCTTTACCTGGTTCCTCGTCTGGCTGTGTATTTTCAGGGGTGTTGGCCTGACGGGTCGTGTTGTTTACTTCACCATGGGCCTGCCCATCATCATGACCATTGTCCTGATCGGTCGCTCTCTGTCTCTAGACAATGCCGGCGAGGGTGTCAAGCTCTTCTGGGCCACCTGGAGAGGCTCTGAACTTGCCGACGGTACTGTTTGGCAGACAGCTTGCGGACAGGTATGTTCCCTGCTTCTCGGAGCGTCTGGGCTCTACTAAACAAGCGCAGGTCTTCTTCTCAACTGGTGTCGGTTTCGGGTACTTTACCTCATACGCTTCCTACAACCGCAAGCACTCGAACGCTGTTGTTGATGCCATTGCCATTGTGTGCAGCAATGTGGCTTTCGAAAACATCGCCGCCTTTGCCATCTATGGCGTTATTGGTTTCGCCAGGCTCTGGCCAGAGGAAGGTGTTCGAATTGGTGGCTTCGACATTGGATTCCGTACGCTGCCACTCGCCATCGTCCAAATGCCCGGCGCAAACTTTTGGGCTGTCGCTTTATTCTTTACGCTCATGACCCTCGGCTTTTCTTCCGCCTTTGCCATGTTGGACGCCGTCGTAACCATGGTCATGGACTCTGGCATTAAGCTCTCGCGCCCCATCGTTGTCAGCGCACTAACGCTGCTGTCACTTCTGTTTTCTCTGCCATACTGCACAGAGTTCGGATACTACCTCCTTAGTGGCGTCGACCGCTGGGTCAATGATGTCGCGCTGGTCTTCGTTGTGTGGTCGGAGTGCGTGACCTCGACTACAATTTACCGCTGGAAGGATGTCGCTGGACAGATCGGCGTCCCTGCTTACGCCGCCTACCAAGTCGCCTATTTTGGCGGCCAGATTCTTGGTGTTACTGTGGCCCAGGCTGTCAGTGCCGAGGCTGGTGCTGGCGTTGGCTTCGGTATCTACATTGTCGCAACCGTTGTTGCCCTGTTCATTGCCAAGACACCCGATGTCCGTCCGGACAACATGTTCAAGGCCAACGTCTTCCTGACGAGGTTTTGGTACATGGCATTCTACTCGGTAAGTCGCCTGTATTCATTTCCGCACTTCTTTTTCGCTGACCAATCCAGGCCAACCAACTTCGTCGCGATTTGAACACTATTGTCGGCTCTGGCAAGAATTGGAACATCCCGGCCTTCTGGGGACCCCTGGTCAAGTATGTCGCCGCCCCAATTCTGGCCATTGTGTACAGTTTCTCGTATCCAGCCTTCTACGCCGAGGGGCGCAAAGACCCTTTGCACATCTTCGGCTTTGCTGTTGCCCACATTGTTCTCATCATCATTGCCGCGGGCTTCATCGCCCCCCGCTGGTTCAACGTCTTTATCCCCGCCCACCGCCAAAACGAGGGAAAGATTCCCTACGCTCCGTGTGTTACAAACGGTGCCCTCGAGGTCGAGGTCACGGAGAACATGGAGGCAGGTCAGCGTCAGACTTCTGACGACGAAGTCATCCGGGAGAAAGATTCTCTGCCGAAAGATAGCCCACAGGGACACCAACATGCGCCGCTCGTGGATGGGCCTGTGGACGACAACAAGGCACCTCTTCGTGAGGAGCCGTTGATCCGCTAGATAGTGGGACGGCTATTTCTTGATTTTCTGCTCACTTTGGATACCCACACTTAACATGCTAGGGCGTCGCATGAGGCACATTCGGCATATGGCATTTGGCATGTCAGGGAAGGAACCTAGGCTTATGGTGACATGGGGAAACACCGGGGTCGTCGAGATTTCACTGCGTTGATTTGATCATTTTTGTTTCTTCTGTGGTGCTGTGCTGGATATGGCTGTTCTCCCGCCGCTGGGACTTCGTATCATACCCTCACCACTCCTTGCCGCTCCTTGCCTTCTGGTCCGTCCTTGAAGGGCACAGGAGACGCATGCACCGGCTCGTATCTATCATTCATTGCGGCTTCGGCCTTGGGACACAATGTCCACCGCCTACTTTGACCACTGTCTTACCCGCTCCGCCCTCCACCCACTTCTTCTCACGTCCGAGATCTAGCCAGCCCTTGGTACCCGTCGGCGTCTCCCACTCAACAGTGGCCACCCCGTTGCTGACCTCCCATTTAGCGCTAAACTTGCCCAGATTCGTCGTGAAGCCGGCCTGCGCCGAGGGCAGCTGGTTGAAGACAGGCTTCAGCGTCCACGTTGCGCCTGCCAGCCCCGTCACCTTGAGACCGACGAGGGACTCCGTCAGAGCATGAGTCGGCCCGGCGCTCCATCCGTGTGCGTGACTCACATAGCTGGGATCGTTGGTGTAACCGCGCGTCGACCGGTAGCCGAAGGACCCATCCACCAGGTACCCCTCGATGACTGTGGACTCGGTACCGTTGGGGTGGTTGATGTACCATCCCCACGAATCGTGGATCAGCTGCAGGGCACGATCAGCGCGACCCACGGCAAAGTGCGCCTCGAGCTCGATGGAGCTGATGAAGGGTGAGATGTTCCCCGGAAGCTCAGGGGAAGCAGGGCCGATGGGTGTCCAGTTCTGCGTCAGCGCAGTCGACACAGCGGCGGCTTCGTCCGAGGCCGGGTCCAGCACGCCAAAGGCCAGGGCGTAGCTGTTGGCGTCCTGAGGATACAGTGTGCGGTTCTTCCAGCCGTCGATGAAGGCGCCCTTCTTGTCGTCCCAGAGGTGGGTCATGATGGCAGACTTGAGCTCGACGGCTTGCGCGAGCCAAGTCTCGGTGAGGTTGATCGTATTTGACGAATCCTCTGGTGCCAGCTCGGCGAGCCAGGCGCCCGTCTGCAGGGTGCGGTAGAGGAGCATGTTGGGCGCGCTGCCGTTCATCGAGTTGATGTATCGCGCCCAGTCGCCAGTCGCTGAGGCGTTGAGCAGGCCCGACGGCGCCGGCAGGACCTTGCCGTAGATGTAGTCCATGGCTTTGCGGTAGGTGGCCCAGTGGGCGTTGAGCCAGTCGAGATCGCCCGAATAGAGGACATAGTTGTACGCGCCGATCATGGTCCACATGTGATACGTGTCGCTCGTGGCGTCGAGGTACGGCGGACCGGCGCGCGGGAAGATGCCGCTCGGCTCCTGGAACTCAAACATGGTCTCGATGGCGTTGCGGGCGCTCTCGAGATCGCCCGTGCTGACAAAGGCCGCGGGCACCGCGACGCCCATGTCGCCGGGCCAGATCCAGCGGTCGCGCTTGGCGCCGTCGAGGAGCAGAGACTCGCCGACACCGAGCCAGGCATCGTTCTTCCAGCCGCCGTTCCATATATCCTCCGTTACGACGCGGCCCGTCTCGGGCGGCGCGGCGTTGGTCTGCAGCGTATAGGCGCCGGCGTACCATATGCGGTTGAGCTCCTCGTCGGGCGAGTGGAAGTAGCCCTGGTAGGCGCGCAGGTTCGACCACGTAGGCTGGAAGACAATCTCCAGCGAGACATCATCGAGCGTCACGCTCGCTGCCGTGTCGTTGGTCAGGAGGTAGACCGTCAGGTAGCGGAAGCCGCCGCGCAGCTGCGCAAACGGAACCGTATAGTTGCCGCTGCTTCCGGCGGCTTGGCGCACTGGCGCGTAGAGAGCGCCGTCCTCGCTGATGAGGGCCTGGCCGGGCCCGCGGTAATTGCCGTTGGACGAGTCGGAGTACTCGCCGATCCAGTTCTTGGCCTCGGTCCAGGCGAGACCGAGCGTCGCCGGCGCGCCCGTGTTGGCCGTGTACGAGACGGACGTGAGACCGCCGACGAGGACGCCAAAGTCGAAGACGAGGGCCGAGCCGTTGCCCTTCAGTGTGCGGGTCGCGTCATCCCCGGGAAACGAAGAGAGGACGGACGCGTCGGCCAGCGAGAGGATGGAGGCAGGGCGTGCGGTGCGCGAGGCAGGCGCGTAGATGTTCTTCTCCCAGATGCCGGGGAACGAGGGCTCGGTCGGGTGCGAACACGTCGAGTTGCGCCAGCAGCCGGGGCCCGCGGCGACGACCGTGGCGAAGCTGGCGAGGATCGAAAGGCAGCGCATCATGTTTCACGGTATGCTGCAAACAACGCTGACGGGTGTCGCAGGACGAGAGCAACCCGGCGACAATACAGGCTTCTTAAACCTTTGCCATTCCACAAGTGGACAGCCTAGCCGGGGGGGCTGTCGTCTCTCAATGTGCCGAAAGGCCCCAGGTCCGGGGCCCCGGATTTGGGATCTGGGGGGAGAATCGCACCTCTCCACAACCGACTTGGCCGAGTCATGAGTTGATCAGCATGGTCATGGTGCTGGACCTTGTTTAGCCTGCGCTTAAGCTTGTCAATACAAAAACACAAAATGGCGATCCCGCCTCGGCCATCGGGTCAAAGAGAGGGCGCGACGCAGCCCCAATACATGGAAGGATCGGCGGGGAGGGCGCTGGTCCAGGGGGGTTGGAGGCGGGGCGCGGGGTTGGCAAACGACGCGGTGCCGGAGAAATACCCCCCTTTATGCGTTCTTAGTTCACTCTCCGCATGGTTATCGTGTCATCGGCGCAGGTTGGAGGTGACGTTGCCAGTGGAAGCCATTCATGTTTACAAGGATCCTGGTTCTCTCCAATCCAGGTGTCAGTCTATTCCGAGGTATCTTTCCGTAAGGCCATGCCACATTGTACATGCATCAGTACGCCGACGATGCTCATTTCTTCCTCTTCAAGAGGCAGTGTCGTCCCCACTTCCTCTGGTACTTTTCCGGTACCAGCGACACCTCGGGCACCCAGATAGCTCTCGCTAATGGGTGGGTGTTGGCGGCATCCAGGAATGGCACACACTTGACGACCTCCCAGTTCTCCTCGTCGGCAACGTAGTCCGGCTCATTGGGCGGCAGCGGCTCTGTCCTCGCAGGAAACTGCGTGTCGACCATGAAGGAACACATGCGAGGCTCAACGTACTTGCTGAGGTCCTCCTGGTTGCGGTCGTTCAGGCCGCTCGTAGGCAACCATGTGCCGCTCCAAAAGCCGAATCCGATCCTTGCCTCCGAGAACTCCCCCGGTAGAAGGCCACGGAACTCGGACCGCACGAACTTGGGCCGCATGTCGCGCGGCAGGAAGTACGAGGACGGGAAGCGGTACCACTCCTTGCCGAAACAAACCGAATCGCCCGAGCCGCCGATGCCGTTGGCGAGTGGTGTGTAGATACGCATGGGCGCCGAGTAGGCCGAGTAGATGCCGTATATGCGCGCGAGACCGATGTCGATGGACAGGATCATGGTGAGTGCCACGGCCACAAGCTTGAGCTTGGCCGGAATCTTGCCGATCAGCGTCTTCGGATCACTTTGGCCCAAGGCGGCGAGAAGAATGTGAAGCGACATGGCAGCGTTGATGGCGAGGAAGGGGTACGCCGGGTACATGAAGCGCTCCTCTTTGTGCGGCTGGGACGTGAAGATGCCGAGCCACAGGTAAAAGGGTGAGATAAAGATGAGCGCCCGCAGACCTGTCTGGAAACCCTGGCTCGACGGCGACAATATCTTCTGGAGGAGGAACAACGGCAGGCAGAGCAGAGCCAAGACGAACCAGATGTTGTGGTTCAGGGTCAGGTTGCGGAAGTAGAAGGTCCAGGGCTCGGTGCCGTAAAGGTCGGGTCCGCCGGTTTCGCCCAGGACGTTGTACTTGATGATGTTCCAGGGGATGATTTCCAGCTTTCGGTAGAAAAAGGTGTTGATGGCGGTATCAAAGGCCTGCATTTGTCAGTCGGGGGTACACATTACAATGCGTCTAGTCGTCGGGCAAGACGTACCGCTAGGATGAGGGCCCCTGTGACACCGCGCGTCACACGCCAGATGGCTTCGATGAACCGTTCCTTGTCGCTAAACAGAGCCATGAGGCCCTCCTCGACCAGGAACGGAATGCAGAGTGCGCCGGCGAACGGCCAGCCCACCACGGCACCGGCGGCAAACCAGGCGATCCCCTGGGACGTTTTGAGGCCACCGCGCCAGTTCATGAAGGCCGTGGCACCGAGCATGCTGGCGTACATGGCGAAGCTCGAGGGCAGGAAGGCGGTGCTGGCGTGGAAGTTTCCGGCGCTGAAGACGGTGGCAAAGAGAAAGATGATGCCGATCCGTGCATTGAGCGTGGTGCTCACGACGCGGAAGAGGAGGACCTGGCACAGGGCGCAGGCGATGGCGAGGACATAGCGGATGAAGTAGAACTCGCCCACCTTGCTCGTCTGAGGCAGCAGGCGGCGCAGGTTCCCAACGACGGCGTGGATGACGACGTAGAGCCAGCTGCGAATGGCATAGTCGGGCGAGTACTCCCAGGTCTGGAGGCCATAACCATGGGAAATGTAGTGGGTGGGCTCGTAATAGTTGAACGTTTCGTCGCAGTCCTGGATCGGGGCGAACACGGCAGAGATGAGGTTGGCCGTCAGGAAGCAGTAGAAGGCGGTGATGGGCTGGATGCCATACGCGCTGGGGACCCTGAAGGCGATGGCGATGGTCAGCAGGAGGAGGCTCAGGTCTGCCAACGTGGGGTGGTGGGGGAGGATGGCTTTGGGTTGACACCTAAGACCCTGACGCACTTCTTTTTGGCATGGCTCGCCTCTGGGTGAACGTATTCGTTCCGGGTGGCAGCTTTGGGTGGCATGCTCGCTAATTGAGGCTTTGTTGTCGGCACGCGCTTCGACGGGCAAGACGGCGGGCGGTGATTGTTGCTGGAGGTGCCGGAGACTACTTGTTCTGCGGTCTCAACATTTCTCAATTCGTGGAGGAGCTATCACAGGCCACACCTGCCTACCGAGTACCCCATCGGCTCCAATTGACACTCACTCATGGCGCACTGTGTATACGGGGGAAGTGGGAGCATTGTACAGTGTGGCCGAAAGCTCACGAGCGACCCCACCTCATTGGCCAAAGCTCTCTAGTACCTGAGACGGCGTAAGAACAAGCGGCGTCGAGGTGATGGACCATGACGAAATGACGGCATGGAGAGCTGTCTGCTTGATTCCGAGCCACCTTTGCCGCGTTCAGGTTATGAGGAGAGAAGACTGGAACTTGAGGAACAGTGACGTCCTCTGCGGCCGTTGTCTCACAGCAATTTCCCTATGGAGCGACCTAGAAGCATTGGGAGAATTCATGCTGGGCCTGGGATGATCTTGTGCACACAGCGAAGCCACAAAAATATTGGGAAATAAAAAAACCCTTTGAGCACAGATTATACATGCCATCACCAAGACGAAGAAGAGGCTGAAGGGCAGATCACCCGGAGCTTTTTCACCATGACCTTCCAGCAGCAAGCAACGTTAAATCCATAGAGGCGGGAAGGCAAGAATGAGGGAAAGCCCCGCTTGGCCAGACCCTGAAAGCCAACTCGCAAGCCAAGGTTACGCCCTCGCCCCTTCCCGAGACCGATTGTGCGAACAGGGAGGAGCTGAGAAGAAGAGGCAGTGACGCAGGTGGTGCACAGACCAGCCCCTCCACCAGCTGCACCAGCTGCACCTGCTGCACGGTTCACTCGCAGAGCACAGAAGAGAGGAGCACGGAGAGGAGCACACAGACGACAGCTGCTCCATTTTGCTCATGCCAGCCACTGAACATTCTAATCCACATCTACCTACCCACCCCCGACCACCGACTCCGACCGCTTTTGTCGTCGCTGTTCACTTCTTGCCAGCTTTCCCTCGACAGCATCACTTCTCCCCCCCTCAAACTCCCTTCTGCTCCCTCAGGTTCAACCCTTTCCCGCCAGCCAACCCCCCCCGGATCACTCGCATTTTCGACTCCACGAGCTTCCTGTTCGCTGTTCTCCCAGAGATCCCGACCTCATAATGGCTCCCCCTCCGTCGGCTGATTTGCCGGTCCAACAGCGCCTCCTCCAGCTCGCCCAGACGCTGCAATGTATGTCCAGTCTTGCCCACCGCTCTTTTGCGCTCTTTTGCTCGTGGCCTCATGCCCGCTTTTGACGTCGTCTTGCTGACTCCTCGTCTTTCCCAGTCGGCTGGTTCGCTGGGTATGTCTCTCCTCGCCCCAAACATCCTGCATCGTGGCATGTGTCGTGTGCCTGTCTCGCCTGTCCTGCACTTGCGGAGCCCACACGCACCCGCTCAACTCCCCCTTCCCCCTCTCCGAGCGCATGCCTCTCCACTCCGGCGTCCTCCGACGGCTGCGACAAGGAGCGAGACTATTGAGCGCTAGGAGACGTTCGAGACGACAATGCTGACCATGCCTCTCTAGCCATGCCGTCCTGATCCTCTGCACGATCCGCTACGGCTTCTCGTGGATCCGCCTCAACTATTACTCGGGCATGGCGCAGTTCTCCTACCGCACCGCCTTTGTCGCCGCCGCCGTCACCTACGGCATCGTCGTCTACAAGACCTGGAGGGCGCGTGCTCGCTCCGGCGCCAGGAACCTCCAGAACCCCATCACCATCCTCAGCGACGAGAACGTCCAGTACCTTGGTATGCCACGCCGTCACCTTCCTCCCACGCCGTCACCTTTCCTCCCACGCCGTCATCTGTCCTCCCACGCCGTAGCCTTTCTTCCCACGCTCACCCAGACCGCTGACCGCTGACCTTTCCAGGCATGGCCCTCGTCTGGCTCTTCGCCCCTCAGTACCCCCTGGCGCTTCTGCCCTACACCATCTACTCCATCTTCCACGTTGCCACGTACTCGCGCGCCAACCTGATCCCCACCATCTCGCCCTCCAAGCCTGCGCCCGCCGCCACCGGCGACTCGCCCGCCGCTGCCAAGCCGCAGACGAACGCCGTTGCCGACAAGATCGGCGCCTTTGTGAAGCAGTACTACGACTTTTCCATGTCCATCGTCGGCAAGCTCGAGCTCGCCCTGTGGTTCCGCGTCCTGCTCTCGGCCATTCTCTTCCAGCGCCGCTCGTGGATCCTGATTGTCATCTACACGGCGTTCCTGCGCGCGCGCTTCGCCCAGAGCTCGCACATCCAGAACAGCGTCAGCGAGCTCGAGGCCCGCGTCGACTCGGCCGTCGGCAACCAGGGCACTCCTCCCCAGGCTCGCCAGGTCTGGGAGGCCGTCAAGAACGGCGTCCGCCAGTTCTACAATCTCACGGACGCCAACCGCTACCTCAGCGGTGCCGCGGCGCCCAAGAAGACGTCCTAGACGGCGACACGTCGTTTGAGCCGCTGCACGCCGGGAGACGCGCCCGCCTCTCCGGCGTCACAGCGCACCGCACTGTGCCTGTGTCGAAGGCGATGTGTGTGGACAGGCCCCTCACAGTCAGGGGACCGAGTACAGACATGGACCACAACGTTATGAGATGTGTCCGGCTGCAAGCACCAGCCATTACGAGGTTGATCAATGAGAAAGGACGAGAGACAGGCGGGGAAAACAGCAGGGGAGGAGACAAGGGGCGAGGCCGTGGATGAATACGACAAATGATCAAGGAAACGAAACGTGGCATTTCTTTACTCGGCTATCGGCGGTCGGTCTACATGGCTTTCTTTTCCAGTTTTCTGTGATCCATTCCCTTGGGGGCTCGGGTGTTGGCGATTCTGGGCGAGCGAGATTCCCTGCTTGGGGTGCCGGGTGCCGGGTGCCTGGTGCCTGGTGCCTCGATGGAGCTGCACAGGCCATGCGCCCATGTGCCATGGGGTTTCCGTGTTTTGTGTCTTCTTGCGATAGTGTTTTCGAGTCAAGATTATGATCATGTAAAGCGTCATGCTGCTATTGGCTGTGGGCTGTGAGCTTGTGAGACGGAGCGTACTTTCGTAGGCAGGTAGCTATGGTTGCTCATCCTTGGTGGTTGGTGGTTGGCAAGGATTCCCAGTCGATCATGGTGTGACACCAGCCACAGACGCGGGGGAAGTGCGAGCCACAGAGGAGAGAGAGAGAGAGAGAGAGAGACAGACAAGCGGATGAACCCCACCATGATACCACGGCACCGCGGCACCACGGCGGGCGGGCTCCACTAACGGACCTCAGCCCATCAGCGTGCTTGCGCCCTCGAGCTCCCTCTGTGCCCTCTGATGACGTCGCCCAGATGCGTCCACTGCAATTGGGTCCTGACCTGAACCTGCCTGACAGCTGCTCCAACCAGTGGACGCGGGGCGCTGTTGCTCAGGCTGTCGACACGGCGTCGACTCTCCTTGCCCCTTCCAAGGCTGCCGGGAGGCCTCGACCTACCAACCTTCCTCCTTGGCCACGAGGCACAAATCATTTTATTTCTTGTCACTTCTTTTGCCTGCGGCATCTTGGCATCATTCTTTCCAAGGTCCCTTGTCGAACACGTATTTCCATCTCTGCACTGCGCTGCAAACGAGCCGAGCCTTTCCTGAGCTGAGACCTAGGCAGAATGGCCTCCATACTGAGGCAGATTGTTGCCGGGCCGCGATCACAGCATCCCGAGGCTGGGATTGATCTGTGCTATGTGACCTCTGACATCATCGCGACGTAAGAACCTCCTCCTCCTTCTTCTTCCTCTGCTGCTGCTGCTGCTGCTAGACCGAGTGACGAGCTACCTGTTGACATCTCCCCAGATCTGGCCCCTCCTCGACCTGGCCACAGAAAGCCTACCGAAACCCCGTCGACAAACTGGTCGAGTTTCTCGACGACCGACACGACAAGGAGTGGGCGATATGGGAGTTCGCGCCGAAGGAACGGGATACCCAGATGAGGAAGTCTACGGCCGCGTCAGGCATTATCCCTGGCCTGACCATCACCCGCCGCCGTTTCGTCTCGTGCCCATGATCATGGCGAGCATGCGCAACTGGCTCCATGGCGGAGACTTGCACGACGGCAACCCGGCGCCTGTGACCGTCGACGCTGCCACAGCAGCAGAACCACCAGCAGCAGCAACACAGCCCGCCAGGGATGCAACGCAAACCAACACTACACAACCCGACGCTCCCGTCACCGACAAGGACAAGAAGAAGCGTGTCGCCGTCGTCCACTGCAAGGCCGGCAAGGGCCGCAGCGGCACCATCTCCTGCAGCTACCTCATCGCCGAGTGCGGCTGGCGGCCCGAAGAGGCCCTGACGCGCTTCACGGAGCGGCGCATGCGGCCCAAGTTTGGCGCCGGCGTCTCCATCCCCAGCCAGCTGCGCACCGTCTCGTACGTCGACCGCTGGGCGCGCCACGGCAAGAAATACGTCGACTGCCCCATCGAGATAGTCGAGATCCACGTCTGGGGCCTGCGCAGCGGCGTCAAGGTCGACATTGAGGGGTTCGCTGATGCGGGCCGCAGGATACAAATCTTTCACACCTTTTCGAAGAAGGAGAGGATCATTATCGACGGCAACGCGCCCGAGACGGACGGCGGTGGCGTCGCCCACATGATGTATGACCTCGCTGGCGTGCCGGCGGCGCGGACCGTCGAGGGCGCCCCCGAGGAGGCTGAGTATGCGGAGAGCACGAACCTGGAGGATCCGAACGGCGATAAGGCTCGCAATAGCCGCGCTGCTGGTAGTGGTGGTGCTGCTTCTCCACCTGACGAGGCACCCAGCCGCAGCTCGTCGAAGAAACGCCTCGGCGGAAGCACAAAGACGCTGCTACATAATGCTAAAACCAAGACCAAGACGGGGCTTGGATACCACGGCACGACTGACTCGCCTGCCTCGTCCAACAGCCATCTCTCTGGGTACTCAGAGGACGCGTCTACGGAGAATGAGCCTGGCGGTATGGCCGTCATCCTGAAGCCGACCGAGCCCGTGCAGATTGCCAACAGCGACGTGAATATTTCCGTCGAGCGACGGAGCCGCAGTTCCTCGTCGCTGGGCCTCACAATGGTCACGGCCGTGGCGCACGTCTGGTTCAACGCCTTCTTCGAGGGTAACGGGCCCGAGCAGGACGGCAAGCCCGACACCAGCGGTGTCTTCAGCATTGACTGGGAGGCTATGGACGGCATTAAGGGGTCCAGCCGCAAGGGGTCCCGCGCGCTCGACCGCATTGCTGTGGTGTGGCGGCTCGCCGGAGCAACCGATGTGCCAGGCCAGGACCAGACTGACAACATCCCGGGAGAGATTGTAGTCGAGCCGCCGGAGGGCTCAGCGGTGCCGCAGATGGAGCCTGCGGACTGGAAAGGGCAACAACCACGAAGATCCGGAGCAGGACAGGCATCTCGGGTTGCGGGGCGGAGAAATCCGGCCAGCGCGGACGTCAGCAAGGCCAGCAGCGTCAAGAGCCAGGAGATCCGAGACGGACAGGCTGCTAATGGTGACGAAACCAACCCCCTGGCCGGTGTCAGGATCAGCGGACCCGCCGGCGAGGAGGAGCTGAATGGCGTCAAAGGGGCTCCGGCCGCCGAGGTCTCCTCGCCCGTGATGCCCCAAGGCAAGGAGCCGGGCCCAGAATTGCTGGACAATCCCGACACGGCGAGCAGGACGACAGGGTCGTCCGGGGCACAGGCGAGCAAATAGGCATTTCAACACGCGAGATGACGGATAATGTGTCATATACACGTTACATGAAATAATGATGCATTCACAATGTTCTCCCCTTGCTCGAAAAAAATAACGACACAACCATTCGGTCTCCGATGTGTCCCAGTCTTCCCAAACTCGTCCTAAAGCTTGCTGGCGGCGCATAGAAAGTCTGCCGCGATGTGAAGCAACGCCGTCCCAGTCCCCGTACGCCGCGCTACGTTCCAATTCCCCTGCGCTTTGCGGTCGTTTCGCCGCCGCAAACTCAATTAAACGGTGCCTCAACGCCTGGTCTTTGTTCCCTTTTCTTCCCTGTCCTGCGTCCTTGTCGAAAACGTGGACAAATCCCCAGACGGACGTCCTCTGCGCCATAGCCTCCAGCGCGTTGGCACCGCGAAAACGCGATTCACTTGCTCCCGCCCGCCGACGCCGCGGTCGACGTAGTCGGCGACGGGTGCGGCGAGGAAAAGGCGGAGAGCGACGACGAGGTCGGCGACATGGGGGGCGTCGGCCTTGCGCGGCGCGGCGGCGGCGGGTGCGTGTCGAGGTGCTGCTGGAGCATGGGGTGGAGGAAGATGCGGCTGAGGCCGCGGGGCGGCTGCTGGTGCTGGGACTCGGAGGAGGGCGAGGGGGTTTGGGCGGCGAAGTCTTGGGTACGGGTGGCTGCCATTTTGGGACTTGTCTTTTGTTTGTTCTTCGAGGTTGTGAGCTTGTTGGATTTGTTGCGCGCTCGTTCTGAGTTTTGCTTTTAGAGATGTCGAGTGGTCGTGAATCTGTGGGGGGTTGTTGCAGCTCTTTCGAGTTTCGCCTTTTGAGATGTCGATCGTCAACTAAGGTATGAGGAAGGCCTTTGTGGTGCTCCAAAAGATAGCGTGACTGACTTCCCATCCGGGGATCCCCCCCTCTTATACACATGGCCGTGCCCGTGGTTCGACCGAGCACAAGAATAGCGCGAGGAAACGCATGACGGCAAACGACCATCGAACGGGGATCATGAGATCTCTGCGTCACGCCCTGTATCATCCCAAAGATAGAAAGTTTGCCAGCGTGAAGCTTGTCCGGCCAGGGGTCGCATGTGAAACCTGGGGTACGGACGTGCGCTGTCTGCCCAACCCAACCCACGGCGGCAAGGGGTCGGGGTCCTTGCGACATAGGGTCCAGGACGTAGGGCCCAGGAGGAAGACGAGGCGAAACGAGTCGAAAGGCTATACATGCCTTGGTCGTATTGGGGCAAAAAACGATAAAGAGAGTCTGTCTCCTGTTTCGCCGGGCCTTGCCAGACAGAACGCTAACAAAGGGCGGATGCTTTCATTGGGAGCTGGCATGCTTGACTCGGGAGCAAGCTTTCACAGAGAAGGACTGGCGAAACACGGATACACAGACTTGTGAAAAGGCAAAGATATAGGAAACCAAAGGGAGCATGGGATTTCATCCCTGTCTGCCCTAACTGAAGATGCCGATCCTGGACATGTGCATTGTGCGCACCCGGTGAATGCCACCAGGTCGTACTCGGTAGAAACCTTCGAGACTTCATACCAAACTATCGTCTCTCTTCCATCCCAGCCTCACCCCGAGGTCCAACCGTCCATTGGCCTGGTTCCTTAGGTTGGAACCTAGATTAATGAATCCAGTTGAATTGTACCTGTATGAAAAGATAAGAGTTTCTGCATCCCTGCCCTTGCATGGCTACCCCGCAATCAGTGACCTGCTCCTCAGGCAAGGTGAATGATGATAAACTTTTTGGTTGACGCTTTTCCGTTGGCGGTGAAAATGGGATATCAATTGCTATCAATACATTGCCTCAACGGAAAACCGGCTTCTCTCTTGCCGCCGACCAAGTGACAGGTTCGCCCGATTATTTCACCGAGTCGTGCATACCAAGCAACAGGAACAGGGACACCAGCAACAACGTGCGACGTTAGGGTAACTTCGTTCGCTTCAACCTCTTTACGCTCCAGTTTCAGTACTCGCCTGAATTTAAAGCGTACTACTTCAAGTGCCTGGAGGTTCTCAAATGCGAAGAGGAAGTTGTCCGTGACGTGTTCCATGACGAAGCCCTTGGATGGATGGTCAAGCCTTTCGAAGACCATATGAAATAATCTCTCGTCGCGTAACCTGGCAGCCTGGAAAAGCTAACCTTGGTAAAGTGGTTCGTTGTCGACAGCCTTCACCCTTGCTTCTGATGAGGTGAATGGGGAACCTCTGCTTCGTGTCGAGTCTCGCGACCGTCCTTTCGCACAATACGTTTGAGTAACTCCAGACGTCGCTCAAGGATTGATGAGAATCGACCTAAAGATGTGCTTATCAAGAGACCGACTCCAGTGCACGTCAATAAGGGAAGACAGACTACTTCTGCAGGTCACTCACCAAGAGGACAAACTCCGACGAGACCAGTAGAGAGGTAGGAGCCCTCAAGAAAGTGAACTCGCAAATACGGGCCCGAGAGTTCCTACTTGCTGTCAATGTGGCTATTTTAGCAACAGTCATAGATTCGAGCAGCTAATTGACCAGCGGTCTACGCTCTAGCAGGCCAAGGCAGCCGCTTCTGTAGCGTACGAAAGCGTTGCGCCGCACATACGGAGAGGAACTGACCGAACTGCGAAAGTATCAATGTGCTGGTTGACACTGAAGACGCGGCACGATTGATGCACTTTGGAGGGAGTTACATGCAGTGCTGTGTCGACAACGAAAAGAGGAACACTGCAAAGTGACTCACAAGGAATAGCCCGGATTGTAATTTTCTCTTGGTTCCTGTAACTTAACAGGATGAATGCTTTTCAATTCAAAACAAATGAAGCCTGAACATTGAATACCGAAAATTGAACTAGCAGTGGCAGAGTTCAGACCTGGGCTATAGCCAGGGATGTAGGCTTCGAAGAATCCACCTGCTGTGTTCTGGCTATACCTTCCCGCTAAAGAAATGTATTGGACGAAAGCCATGACGTCGACTTTATGACATGCCGTCCGGATAATACTAAGGTTTAATGTCTAGCTCAGCGAGATCAGATCACCCAACTGGAGGGTTGAACCATGTTATGTACTATTAGCCTGCACCCTCGAGGCCTTGGTGCTGAGCAGGGCTGGAGGGTCCTTGCGGCGTGAAACGATCATTGTCAGATGACTGAAGGCAGCGATCTGTCATCATGGAGCGGCAGCCGTACGGCGAAGAGAGTGATTGCAACCCAGTCAAGGTTTCTCAATGATGAAGAAGGGTCACCCTTTGATACCTGAAACCTGCAACGGATCGTGTCTGGCCTTGGCGCTTAGGGGTCGTGAGCTGTACGTTGACGTTTCAGATGCGATGCTTAACCATATATCGATCAGTTGATATTAATATGATTTGAGTTAGTCCATGATTTTCTGGTTATGGTGCAGACTTTGCTTGGTTTTGTAATTCATTAAGCAAATGTTCTCCATGTGAGATGCGTAAACACCGAAAGAGGGTAAGCGAGCGATCTCAAGGTATGGGACCTGCGTGCCTCGACATACGCTCATCTCTAATCAGATTGATGTCCATCCAGGATGTAAAAATAGTTCGTCATTGGAAGTTCTCGACCGAAGCCAATTCCAAAGCCAGTTAACTAAATCGTCATACATGTTCAGTATCCCGCAAGATCTGTTGCCGCGGAAGTGCATAAGAGCGGGTCATATTATGTTTTGATGATCCCGCTGCCGACGATCTGATTGAACGACGCAACGTCAATACTCCAACTTGCCCCAGATGAATTGTGTTCTCTGAGGGACACGAGTGTTTGATATCCCTCCACAGCAACATTTTCGTACGTGCTTCAGCGCCGGGACGTGCTTTATCGTTCACCTAAAGATCACCATGGCGCTAGCTGGCTATTGTGATATCCTCGTTGTCGGTAGTGGAAACGCTGGCTTTTCCGCCGCCATTTCTGCTGCCGAATCCGGCACCGCGAGGGTACTCCTCATAGACACATGCCCGGAGGAGTGGGCTGGCGGCAACACTTACTTTACGGCTGGTGCATATCGCACCGCTCACGGAGGCTTGCAAGACGTCCTACCTCTTGTCAACAACGTTAGCCCTGAGCAAAAAGTCAACATAGAACTTGCTCCCTATCTCGAGCAGCATTTCTCGGACGATATTGAACGGGTCTGTTCCGGTAGGTCTGACCCTAAGCTCGCACGTATTCTTGTGAAGGATTCCAACTCGACCATCAAATGGCTGGCCAGCCATGGGATCTGCTTTCAGCTGTCTTTCAACCGCCAAGCATACGAGGTGGGAGGAAAAATCAAGTTTTGGGGCGGTATGTGTCTGAAAACGCAAGACGGAGGGAAGGGTCTTGTTGCCGATCTCCGGGCCGCCGCCAAAGCCAGCGCAGTGACAGTTTCATGGTCCACGACCTTGATTAGTGTCCAGCATGACCCCTTGTCCGGACACTCTATCATAACGGTCGAGAAAGATGGGACGCAGCAGATCATCGAGGCCAAGGCCATCATCTTCGCTGCCGGGGGTTTCGAGTCAAATCTCCGCATGCGCAGCGAGCATCTCGGGCCTGGGTGGGATAGGGCCATGGTTCGCGGCACGCCCTTCAATACAGGTGCATGCCTTGAACTGTGTCTCCGCGACCTCAACGCCAACGCAGTCGGGGATTGGTCGGGATGCCACTCAGTCGCGTGGGATGCAGCCGCGAATCCGACCACAGGCGACCGCGAGGCGTCCAATGAATACACCAAGTCGGGCTACCCACTGGGTCTGATGATTAACATTCATGGGCATCGCTTTGTGGATGAGGGAGTTGATTTCCGCAACTACACGTACGCAAAGTTTGGCCGAGCTATCCTCTCGCAGCCGGAACATGTTGCCTTTCAGGTCTGGGACGCCCGCGGCGCTGAGTGGCTGCGAGACGAGGAGTATCGACCTGAGCGGGTGGAACGCATCACAGCAGACAGTATCGAATTGCTGGCCCAGAAATGTGCTTCTCGAGGCTTGCACGATACAGAACAATTTAGCAGGACTATTCGGGACTATAACGAAGCCGTCTACGGATTCCAACAGGAGAACCCGGACGCAGCTTGGGATCCTGCGGTCAAGGACGGGTACTCGACACAGTCCTCGATTAGAAGGCTCGACCTACCCAAGTCGAATTGGGCTTTACCATTGGATCGGGGTCCTTTCGTCGCTGTCAAAGTCACCTGCGGAATTACCTTCACCTTTGGCGGCTTGCAGGTTGAGCCCAAGTCAGCACAACTTATCAATGCGAAGGACGGAAACCCGATGCAGGGCCTCTACTGCGTGGGCGAGATGTTAGGAGGGTTGTTCTATGGGAACTATCCTGGCGGGAGCGGCCTGATGTCAGGAGCTGTCTTTGGTAGGCGTGCCGGCCGAGCCGCTGCCGAAGCTATCCTGAAGTCAACTACTGGTCCAATTTAAGACGAAGAATATCTCTAAACTTGCCACCGTCTAAATCATAGGTTATCTCAGTGATGGAACACAGGTAACTGAATACGCAGCAACTTTTGGTTCCTGAGCTTCAAAGTGAGCTCGAATTCTGAGTCAGAATAGCGAAGATGTGATCATTATAGGCCTTTCCCGGGGATTCGACATGACGAAGGATATTCTACAAAGCTTTCTAAAAGAATCTCGAGCTGTAGGGCTCGTATGCCGTATTCAGATCCTTCTGGCCTCGGTTGTCGAGAGGCATCATGGCGATGTCGCCCTGTCCACCGTATCCATCATCGCTCGACGTCCTTGGTGGAAAGGCACGCGGCTCGAAACTCAGACTTTCCCGTCGCGAACCATACGTGTCCTGCTGTTCCCGGGGCACCAGGTGCTGCTCATCATCCGAGAGATTGCCCGACGTCGCTCCTCCACCTCGTGGTGTGGCCCTGTTACTATGCCGCTCTGCACCAGGCTGTTTCCCGATGCCGATGTACTTCTGACGGCCCCAAGTCTGCACTCGGTTAAGCAGACCCGACCCGGGTCCAGCCGATTCGTTCGCCTGGCCAGTGACATGTCCGCCGGCGCCAGATCTGTGCTTTGTATCGAAGGACAGGTCAGGATTGCGTCTCGAGGATTGGTCGCGTGGTCTGAAACTCGTGAAGACAGCGGCAAGTAGAGCGAAACCAAAAGAAAGCCAACTGGGAACCAACAGTAGACCAAAGTCCGAGTCGATGCCAATCGGGTCCAGATCGCTGTCAATGGCTTTGCTGAGATGCTGGTAAATGTAGTGTCCCGTTCCTGAAGCGACGAGGAGAAGAATGGCGGCGAGCCAAGACAAGAAGATGCCGGCGAAGCCGATGATACGAATTTTAGATCCGAACACAGAGAGAATGGGCCCAAGGATGGCGAAAGCAATACTGGCCACGTAGGCAAAGGCCAGGAACTGGGATATCCTTTCGTATCTCGCTAGGGCTTCATCAATGTCGCTGGTATCAAGATTCGCAACAGCAGTCGTGTCGAGCTTGAGGACGGTTATGGGATCAAAGAAGTATCCCATACGAGGCGAGGTACAGGGGGTGGAATCGCTATGGTGGCTGCAGTAACCAAGCAGAGAGATTGTGTAGGTACGCGCGAGGCCGAGCGACTCTGCCGTAACATCTTGGCCCACAAGATCGATGCCCGATAATTCAGTGAGATCTTGAAGATATGTCGAGCTCGAGAGTTTGGACTTGATGTCAAAATTCGATGTGTCCACCTTTTCTTTGATCAGTACAGGGGTTCCGGGTTTGAGTATGCGTCTGCCATCGAGACTGACCTTGAAAAAGGATAACCCGTCGAGAATGTTAGTCCTTGATCCAGCAATCAAAACAATGATGGCAAGTGTGACGGAAATTAGTGAAAATACGAATGGTAGAGCTGCGAAAATTGGCCTGCAGCCGCCGTTAGCTGTCCTTCGTGCCATCTGTGTGCTGTGTTGTGCTATGCTGTGCTGTCTCAAGCGTCACGTAGTCTGGAGAAGAGGTCAGGATGCACAAGACGTTGAACAGATGGGAACAGTTTCTAAAGACCGAGATGAAGCGAAAAGGCTGGCATGAATATCAGCAGAGGTGCATGTAAGCGAGAACAAAAGACCCAGAAGTGCAATCACCACCGACTGTAGTGTGGTGCTTGAGGGATTCAAGGTTACCTATAGTGCGATCAGCGTGGCTCAGCACGCAGCATTGCAGTGTTACAGCGCAGCAAAGCCCGCGTCGGGGCGCTTGTCCAGGGGCCTGCAGAATCCTTCGCGTGTTTCTGCGTCTCAGAAGCCGCAAACCCTTGTTCACAGAAGAGATCCTAGCAGCCTTGTGGGGGGAGCGGCCAGAAACATATATTTGGCGTGATCACTCTTGGGACCAACGCTGTAGTTGCGGGGGTTCCTTGTCGAAGTCCGACCTTGAGACATCCCCATCTTGTGCGAGATCAAGTTCAGAAGTTTTTGCCGCCCTGCCTGGAGATCCTCAATCACGGTTCTGGGTATCCCGATGGACTTTGTTTGTCTGTGCTTGGAAGAGCACTCTGGAAGATGTCTGACTCCATGCGGCCGCCGACCGGTAACAAAAGCACCCGCGTGGCACAGCATTCCATCGAGTCAAACTCAGGGTCGGATATCCTGGTCGTTCCCCATCATATTAGCATCGCTTCAGGGTTTGATTTAACCCAGCACACCACCCGGCTGGCGGCTAACTGCTCTTCACAGCCCCCAACGCTATCTATATCTCACTCGCAGGGGTTATGGCTGCATATCCGCGTCTAAAATAGCACACCCGAGAAATTGTTTGTCACTTTACATGCTGCCAAATCTCTGGGCATCTTACATGTCTACTTTGCGACTTCCAAATAAGCAGTCAGCCCATCTTGGCAAGGCCAAAATGGCGCGAAGGATGACTTTAATGTAGGGCCCCTGGACTGCTTCCATGGGCCAACAGCCGGGGGGCCTGATGGAACACTGAGCTCGATGCGGTCGAGAGATCCTCTCTGATTTTAACCAGCCCACTTCGCACTCAATCAGTGACGTTGATAAGACACCACACTTCGCCCTCGTCCGGTGCTTCTATTGTTCTTCTTCCAGCGTTTCTACTGCTAACAGCTGCGTTATCTCGATCATGAGGGCCAGCGCTTTCTCAGCAGTTGCTATTGCTAACTTCGTGCAATGGGCCAAGGCCGCGCATCACGAAGTCACAGTTGGGAAGGACGGGGAGCTAAAGTTTGTCCCCGAGACGCTTCGTGCTCGCCATGGCGACACCATCACTTATCAGTTCTTTGCTGCCGTAAGTCGAGTCCTCGGTTGACGGTCGTCATGAGAATATGACTGACATCCACTTGCCAGAACCACTCCGTCACACAATCGTCTTTTGACGCGCCATGTCAACCATTACAAGACGGCTTCTTCTCAGCATTTACACCCTCAGAGTCCAAGACAGAAGCTTCCTCCACGACATGGACCATCACAGTAAACGACACAAAACCCATCTGGGTCTACTGTGGACAAGGCAAGCACTGCCAAAATGGCATGGTCCACTCTGTCAACGCTCTAGAGTCTGGTAATACCTTTCAGGCTTTCAAGGAAAAGGCCAAAAGCGCTTCAGACAGCACGTCACCAGCCGATGGCCTTCCAGTGGGTGGTCTGCGAGTAACACAGGTCGAGGTTGGCGTGGACGACAAGTTCGTCTTCAAGCCCAACAACATCAAAGAGCCCATCGGCACACACATACAGTTCAACTTCAACCCAAAGAACCACTCCGTCACGCAATCGTCATTTGATAAGCCATGCGAACAGCTAGAAAATGGCTTCAGCAGCGGTCTCATCCCCACGGTGAATGCCCCCTCGGGCATCTCCTTTGATATTGTTGTCAATGACACCAAGCCAATCTGGTTCTACTGCGCTCAAGGCCAGCACTGCAAGAACGGCATGGTCGGCAGCATCAACGCTCCAGATGAAGGCAACACCCTTTCTGCCTTCACAGAGAAGGCCAGCAAGGCCGGTGCAGGCCAGCTCGTTCCACTATCGCCCATCGGCGGCGTCCTCAGCGCCAACGGCACCACCTTGCCCACACTCAACAACGCCGTCATCGATATCGCGCCCCTGAGCCTTGATCGCATTGGGCAGATTCCTAAACCAGGCAAGCACGATCAGTACATCATTGGTGGTGCCGGTGGCAGTCCCGTGGCCAACTACAGCTGGCCCGACACCATTTCGGCCCCAGCCGTCGAGCGCCTCCACCTACTACACTACCTAGACAACATCCTGCTACGCGTCCTACTCCGCGGCCGCGACAACCTGCAAGAGGGCGGCAAGTGGGCGGGCGCATACCCGCAAACCATTGTCAACACGATCGCCTCCATGGCGGCGCAGACGTGGATCCACCGGGCCACGGCAACCGACTCGCTTCAGCACTACAAGAAGGACTTGCTCGAGGGGGAGTGCGAGTACAAGACAGATGATGACGATGACAAAGAGGGTGTCGACCAATTCCTCGACACTGTCCTCACGCTGCTGGATCTCGAAATCGGGTTCCTCGCCGACTCGTCGAGCCGGCTCGCCCACTCGGACCCGTGGCTCGTGGGCTGTCTCACGTCGGCGCTGGGTGCCAAGTCGCGCATGGCGGCCGTCGCGAACATGATGCAAGGCCGGGCGCCGGCCATTGCGCCGAGAGAGGTCCCCGTTCCTGCGGGCCTCGTGTATGCGTACGCCAAACACAAGTTCATCAAGGAATGTCCTGGAGATGTCATGAAGGGGTGGGAAGACGGCGCCGTGCGGCACGAGCTCAACATCAAGGAAGCGAAGAGGGGCCCTGATGGGAGGGTCAGCGAGGTCGAGGTACATGTTGATGACTGGCCGTACCATGCGAAGCTGTGGCTTGCGTGGATGGGCCCTTGGGGTAGCCTCGAGTTTACCAGGCTCGAGAAGGGGGTTGCTCGCGTTCCTGGGGGCTTCTGGGGGCATGCTTGGGTTGCCGTGACAAGCAGTGCTGACCACAGCATGGGCGAGCTAATCGGGGCAACGGTTGCCGGTCCGCAGATGGTCTGGATCACACAAAGGTAATGCGGTTTGGATGCTGTGACAATATTGAAAGAATGGCATGTGGATAAGCTAACGAATTGTTTCCATGGGGATTTTGTAATTGGCGTTGGGTTGGTTGGGGTCAATCTTGGTCGCAAGCACGAATTAGTACATTACCTCTACTTTCTGCTCCCTCGTATACACTGCCTAGGACGTTGGCTACCATGGTGACTTGGTCCAAAGAAACCTTGCGGTTCGAATTATATTCCTTAACAAGTACTAGATGATAGAATGGCTCAATAGAGATGGGGGCAGGACCCAGTCCATCTCCCTCAAGCTTCTCCCAGCATGTTGATGACTACCTGTAAGAGGTCTCCCGCAGGTGGTATTAGCAGTAACAATAGGTAGAATATATAGAAACTCTCGCCCTCCATAGCTACTAGGTCCCTCTGTAGCCCTTAAGTACGTCCTCACGTCCTCTTAGAGTCCTCAGCCCCTGAAATAGCCCCTGGTTCGCGGCTCCGCAGGTGTCTCCTGACAAATTTCGAATAATGACTCTCAGAAATTGCCTCACAAGACAGCGAATGGACCCTAGATATAGCTCTGGACTTGGACTCACTACTCTCTCATTAAGATTATTTGACCACTACAGAAATACCTGAAGCCTCTAAGTTGCCAAACAGAGAACCTCTGATTCTCGACGAGTGTTGCTGCTGGATTGTGATACCGTGACTTGTGCCACTATTTCCAACATCACTCGCGCAAAATTCGTCAACAAACAGCTTTTCGAAAAGCGAAGCCTCGAATGTGCCGCTATCCCCTTCTTTGAGCGAGCAATCCGCACAGGCTGGTGCGCATACGTTAAAGTCTGCCTCGAGAGCGCCGGAAATCGAGAAGCGACCCGCCTCGAAGAGGCGTATGAAACTTGAGGTGGATGATAACGACTACGCAGATTCGCGACTCACTCCATTTATTAAATGCAGATTCGTCAAGTCAGAAGGACGGCGGCATGAGATTAGCACAAGTATCCTAGGTCACTTAACTACTGCAAACATGCGTGCTCCGCAGAAAAACCACGGGTGCACACCGCGCGACACGCTCAGACGTTGCTCTTGTCGCGAACCTCCTTCTTGGCAAAAAAGTGGCTCAGGTCGCCCACGGGCAGCTGGAAGGGAAACTCCAACACAGCCATCAGGATAGCCGCAAAGATCCACAACCCAGCCAGAGAGGTCACGAAATAACAGGCCCCCGCGCCCTAAGCCAGTCAGCGTCGATGCTTGTGCAAAACAAGATGCAGTGCGGCCATTGCCGGGAGTTGCCACAGCAAAGAGAAAAAGCAGGCCAGACAACGACGTACCTTGATGAGCTTGCTCGCGAACGCGGCGTTGCCGGCATAATCCGCCGCCAGAGCCCAGTACGCACCCGTCAGCAGGCCGAAGCCGAGGACGAGGGTCAGGAAGATGATGAAGAAGGCGACGTTGGTGCCCAGGGAGCAGACGAGGTAGACGAGGCAGAGAAGCAGCATGGCCAGCATGAAGAAGCCGAAGCTGGCGTTGAAGCCGCGCGTCTGCAGGCCCTCGGCGACCGAGGTCGAGTCCGCGGGCGCGTAGGCTGCGTAGGCGTTGAAATCCGGGACGAGGGTCGCGGCGAAGCTGAGCCAAAAGGCTGAGAAGGTCAGGAAGATGACGGAGGGCAAGGTGTTGCCGAGGATCCATTCGAGGAGGCCGCCGAGGAACATGAGGAGACCACCGGAGAAGAAGTAGGCGCCGCTGTAACGGAGATTCGTCAGCATAATCGGTAGACAGAGGGCAGGAGGTGGATGAAGGAGAAGATGGGGATAACTTGCATGCTGGCGGCGCCGTTACCTCCGGCCCCACGCCAACCCATAAGATCGCAGGACAGGGGGAGTAGGGATATGAAGAAGCCGGCGAGAGCACTGTGATGGAAGTCAGACCAGATACACTGGTGGACAGTCTTACACTATGGCAGCCAACCTACATGGGCGTTGGGTTGCCAAAGGTCTTGCGCAGGTCGCCCTTGACGACATTCTGCGGTGACAGATAGAGCTTCTCGAAGAGCTCGGGGGACATGGAGATGGAGCCGGCGGTACGCATGCGGCGCAAGGCCTCGTCCCGAGTGGCATTCTTATCGAGATGTTCATCTGAGGGATGCATGAGACCGCCATCGTAGGCGGTATCGGCGGGCTCCTCGTGCTTGTGGTCCATGGTGATGGCAGTGACGGTTTCAAAATTGCAATATTCTGCGGCTGCTCAGGAGCTGGGAGGAAAAAAACGAGACGAAAAAGAGGAAAGCAGCGAGGGACGGGAGCTTCAAGTACAGCAAGGACAGCAAGGAAGGACAGGGCCACGAGAGACGGAAGCTCAACGTATGCGCCTCATGACAGTCTTAAGACCGACGCAGTGAACGCACATTGCACATCTAACGCCGACGACTACTCCCTATAGGACGAGAACAACACGATGCCGCCAATCCTGACGGACTTGGGGATGTCTAGATCGGACGGCAGGGCCACGAAGAAGCACTCGGACCGTCAGGGGGAGACGCGGTAGTGTGAGGAACCCGACAGTGAGCTGCAGCTACGCAAGACAACAGACCTCCCTTCTGCCGAGTGGAAGGCCTAGTCACCGGCCTGGCCAACCCCCCGACGAGTGTTGTCATCGGGTGAAGAAAAAAGAACGGCAAGACTAGACCATGGGGGAGCTATGGCCCTTCGAGATTGGTAAGAATAGGAGGTTATCCATCCCTAGCGAAGCATGGCCTAGCCTGCTTCTTCGAAGGGCGGGGTGCGGGGAAATCTGGGGTTTGTAGGGCGGCATAGCAGTGAACTGGCAGACTGACGGATCGTGGCAGAGCGCTAAAGGCCGGATTGTTGGGTAGTGCTCTCAGCCGCAGTAGGGGAGGCACGTTGTTGGCTGACATTGTGCGGGGAAGACGGCTGGACGGAGCTTATGAAGGCCGAGTTGGGGGTTCGAGAGCATCAAGTGGGCTGATGATGGAACGAAGTTGCTGCTTGTGTTGGGGAAACCGCAGCGAACGATGAGCATATCCGAGGCATGGGGGGATCATGGTCATGTCCGAGGCATGGGGGGATCATGGCCAAGTCACAAAGCATGTGCGGACATGAGACGGCTAGCGTTGCGATGCGCCTCTCCGCAACGCCCATGCGGAGGTCACATTGACTAGCTTGGTGCCTCGTCGCCTACGATGAGTTGGTTTGTCGCCTGTCTGAATGCATCTGCTTGTCCGCTGACTGGTTGGTTCTCTCCCGAGGCGCCTATCCGGCTCACCACTTGCCGAGGGTCAGATCGGGTCACCACGTACCAGCGGTGACATTCGAAGATCATTCCTACGCCTCACAGTTTACCAGCCGCTTTCAAAGCCCGTTCGCCGTCGACGAGCACACACCACCCTTCGTGGCCACGTCCACCATCCCCCGCAACGACGGCGTTAAAGGCCCCCTCCTCGCGCGCGTATGCAATGACGGCGTCGTCGAAACTGCCGGGCTGCAGCCAGACGGCGGGGATGCCCAGCTCGCGGGCCTCCTTTAGGACCTTGAGCGTCGCGGCAGGTGGGGTGATGATGGACACCGAAGTCTCTTTGGGCCTGGGCAACGCCGAGAGGTTGGGTACGGCGGCATGCTCCTGGCCGAGCGCCGTCACCGTGGCGGCCGTGGGGTTGACAGGCGTGGCGGCGATGGACTGGGCGTGATACCAAGCGAAGACTGCGCGCCGTTAGGTCGGACTGACTATCAATGTTTTGACGCGACACAGGTAGACGGGAGGTGCAAGAAGGACATGAGATGATGGAGGCGAGGAACAGGACAGCAAAGTTTCAATAAGGTAGAGCTCACTCTTGTGACCAAACTTGGCCGGATTGGAGCTGGCGCCGACCACGGCGAACAGAGGAGAAGAGAAGAAGATGCGAGCGGCGGCCTCGGTCGACATGTTGGATATCTGTTGATCGTTCGGACAGTCTGATTCAAGTCGTGTGGGAGAGTCAAAAAGCTCGGGGACACGGAGAGGGGCTCGGGCGGAGTTGAGCAGCGACAAGACGGAAGCTCGGCGCTCCATGGCGTCACCGGCCAATTGAGGAGTGCAGAGTCAACAAAGCGGAGAGACGGCGGCGTTAAAGCCGAAGCCAGACGAGGCAATGCGAAGGCCAATCCGACCTTGGACGACTTGACTGACCGAAGCGAGGGAGGACGGACACTGATGATGACGAAGCCTAATGCCGACTCGCTGTTTGGTCCATTGGTGAATGTTCGACAGGGCTCTTTCAATCCATCGACTTGGGCCATCGACTTGGGCCTCTCGTTCGAGTGACCACCATTGACTAGACTGCGTTTCGCAAACAGCAACACCGCTCGGGCTTGACAGCATGTCAGTATTTGCGTAGGACTCGTCTTCATGCCAACCCATATAGCTGAGCTGAGCTGACGCTGCCGCAGACGCTCAACCTTCTCTGCAGCGGGCTATGCGGCCTTTCGCCCAGCGTACCCTCCCTCTCTGTTCCGCACGGTTCTCGCCTACCATCGAGCGCCATCGGCCGTAGGCACGCTGCTGGACCTGGGCTGCGGCCATGGGCTCATTGCGCGGGCGCTGAGCCCCGAATTCGGCCGTGTCGTCGCGATTGACCCCAGCGGCGGCATGGTCCAGCAGGCATCGAAACTGACAGACGACCCCAAGATCACGTTCCGCCAGGCCAGCTCGGAGGATCTGTCTTTTGTGGCGGACGCCTCTGTAGATCTCGTCGTCGCGGGCCAGGCATCACACTGGTTCGACTACACAAGGGCCTGGCCCGAGCTGGCACGCGTCGTCCGAAGCGGCGGGTCCCTCGCCTTCTGGGGCTACAAAGACAACATCCTCCTTGGCTTCCCAGAGGTCAACCAGATCCTCGAGGATGCGTGCTACGGAGAGGACGAGGTGGCGCCGGGCATGGAGAGCATGGCGACGTACTGGGAGAAGCCGGGCCGGGACATTCTGCGCAACTCATTACGGGCTGTGGTGCCGCCGCCGGCAGACTGGACAGACATTCAGAGAGTGGTGTTTGACCCGAATCGGAAGACGTCCAGCATCGCACCAGAGGACGAGGACAGAGCGTGGCTGCACAAGAGGCTCAAGCTGGGCGAGTTTGAGGGCTATCTTCGGACGTTTAGCGCGTTCAGCGGGTGACGGGATGCGCACCCCGCGTCAAAGAGCCGTGCAGAGGGTGGACGGGGGGACGTCGTCGATGTCCTCTTCGACAAGATGATCGAGGCTGTACCAGCATGGAAGGCCAAGGGCGAGGCATGGAGAGAAGTCGAGGTTGATGCCGTTTGGGGCACTGTCATCATCCTGGCGAAGCGGGCGTAGACGAGCACGGGACTGGTTGGTGCCGCAAGCGAAAGGCCGTTACGTAGGTTGCCGATGGTGTGCAGTACGATATACACATGATATGAAAGCAGCGGTGAACAGAGGATGCACATCTTCCAGACATTTTGTGTGTCCTTCTCACCTGCCGCTTGGTGGAGAGGCGAGGAGAGGCGAGGAGAGGCGAGGCAGGGCTGCGTCAACAAGTCTGCTGAGGTAAGCCAGACGGCTTGCCCTTTCGCCGTCGTGATTGGGTGCATCGTCGGTTGCCCCGTCAGGTTTCAGGGGTGTGTGTCTGTCAGAGGAGCCCCTCCCCGCTCTCAGTGCACACTTTCACAGTTGGCAGGCCCTACAGCCAGTACATACAGCGGGAAGTACAGCGTACACAGCGTACACAGCGTACATAGTAGGATGCTTTTTTTGTGTTTTGTGTTCGGGTCAAGCCATGACCAGACCGCCTGCCAGGGGGGAGGGGGGAGGGGGCATAAAGTCAAAGGAAACGAAAAAGAGTTCCGAGCGTCAGGGAGAGCGAGGAAACCTATAAGAAACATCATCATCGTTCACCCTCTGTCCAGTTTGACCGCTTCTCGATACCCTCTCTCTCTTTTTACCACGACGCGGCAATCCCATCATCATGGTAAGTCTTCCATGTTGTTTGTGTACCACGCAGCCGCCCCTCCCAGGAAGTAAACAAACACATGCCACTTCCCACTAGAACCCACCCACCTTTTAGCGCTGGCGGCGGCTGTTTTGTCCACCCGCCAACGGGAGGGCGAGCAGCAAGTGGTAGCAGCAGCAGCAGCAGCAGCAGCAGCAGCACGCACTGTTGACGGTCGCGGCTCCCTCTGACGCCGGCGCTGGTGTGGTGCTGGGCTCATTTGAATTGACGTGCCCCGAATGGCGTGCGCATTTTCATCCCGGCTTCTTCTCCCCCCTCTTGCCGTCCACACCAACACAGCATTTCCTGCACCAATCTGCGTACCCATAGCCACATACCTCCTCCCAAAAAAGCACACACCAAAACCACGAGCAACATGTCTAACTACGACGCCCAGGCATCCACCAACTACAAGGAGGCCTTCTCCCTGTTCGACAAGCGCGGCAACGGCCGCGTCGCCCTCGAGTCCCTCGGCGACCTGCTGCGCGCCTGCGGCCAGAACCCCACGCTCTCCGAGATCCACGACCTCGAGAAGAACGTCGGCGGCGAGTTCGACTTTGAGACGTTCCAGCGCGTCCTCAACCGCCCCGGCGGCTTCCGCGACCCCGGCGAGCCCGACGAGTACTGCCGCGGCTTCCAGGTCTTTGACAAGGACATGACGGGCTTCATCGGCGTCGGCCAGCTCAAGTACATCCTGACGAACCTCGGCGAGAAGATGACGGACGAGGAGGTCGACGAGCTGCTCAAGGCTGTGGACACGAGCTCGGGACAGGTCAACTACACTGGTATGTCTCGCCTTTTTGTGTGCTTCTTGTTATTTTGTGTTATTTTCTGTTTGCTTTCTGTTTTATTTTCTGTTTTATTTTCTGTTATACTTTCTGTTTCAATGTCCGTTGTATCTTCTGTTGTATTCCCTGTTTTCCTTCTCCTCCGACTCTCGTTTGCGAATCTATCCCCGCCCCTCATGCGACCCAACTAACGTCCACAGATCTCGTTCGGACCATCCTCGCCAACTAGCCGGCCACCGACAAGGCGGAAAGACCGGTTTACACCGAGAAACAGACGACGAGGCGAACCAACATGAGCATGAAATTACAACTGCATGACAGAGGAATTATGGCGTTGCGCGTTCTTTTTTCTTTTTTATCGTTACGAACTGCAGTAGACAGTACGGGTTGGGTACAGGATTGATTCCAGTGGCTTCGGCGAGGTGCCGTGCGCTGCTCTGGCGCGTGTGTACGATTTGCCCAGGGCTGGTTTCTAGCAGGTTGCGAGGGGCGAGATGGAATGAATACATCTTGCGCTTTGAGCATGAATCTTGTCCCTTTCGTGTTGCAGCATACGTCAGTATGGGCTGGTACTCTCCTGTGACTGGTACTTTCCTGTGCCCTATGCCCAGCGCGTTGTTGCGTTTGACACTTTTCTACCTGTGGGAGCATCCATCCTCATCTAGATATCCTCACCTTACCTACCAGGTGGAAGGTAAGCAATAAGGTACCTCAGTACCTTACCCTCATCTTAGGTAAGTAGGTACCTTAAGGTATCAGGCAGCTAAGGTACCTAAGGGTGTCAGATGCCCCGCAGACCCCGAGTCCGCCAAGCCCCTGCAGCTCTGCAGCCCGCGCCGAGGGAACCCACTGAGAGGGGAGCTCCCCAAGGCACCCCTGATCTGGCCTCTTTACGTTGTCGACTTGGACTGACAACAGCTAGTCCCTTGCGCCTCGCATCTGCTCCCGCCCATCGACGCATCTCCTCCCGCATCGACGCATCGCCTTCTGCATCTCCAAGACAGCACGTCCATTGCCTTCCTGTGCTTCACCGCCTGCCCCTCGATCGGTGCCGCTGCCTCTGTCACTGCCGCCCCGCCAGACCACACCCACCTGCATCACCATCAACGCCCGCCCCCCGACTTCATCCTTCCGCAGCAGGCTACAGCAGGCACATCACCTGCACTTCCACGCATCAGCCGCTCGTGGAGTGGCACGCCTTCGCCGCCATCCCGGAGCCCAGCGGCAAGGGCTTCAGCATCGTCGTCTCCAGGGCGGGCGACTGGACGAAGCGCATCATCGAGAACCCGCCGACGTCCATCTGGACCCGCGGCACGCCGGCCTCGGGCGTCCTCGCCGTCGCGCCCCTTTTCAAGAAGATGGTCCTCGTCAGCACCGGCTCCGGCATCGGCCCCTGCCTGCCCGTGCTCATGGAGCGGCGCGTCCCCGCCCGTGTCCTCTGGAGCACCAAGAACCCCCTCAGCACCTACGGCCAGGGCATCATGGATACCATCCTCGCGGCCGACCCCGACGCGCTCATCTGGGACACGGACGAGCGCGGACGGCCGGACCTCGTCAAGCTTGCGTACCA